TATAAATGTTACAGGAAATGGAAATATAGTCTCATCCCAAATAGGGCCTTTAATCCGAGTTGGAAATGACAGCTCAGCAGTAGTTCGGGGTGGAAGAGTTTCCACTGGCAGTCCTCTTGCTACCTCTGGAATCATGCATGGGTCTCCATTGTCTGATGATTCATCTCAACATTCTGATTGTGGAATATTAAATGATGGTGTCAGTAATGGGGTTGTTCATCATTCAAGGCCAAAACCTTTGGACAATGCAATGTATTCACAGTGTGTACTGGCTATGTGTACTTTAGCTATGGACCCGTCTCCACGCATAGCAAGTCTTGGCCGACGGGTTCTTTCTGTTGTCGGGATTGAACAAGTAACAAACTCTGTGAAGTCTGCTGGTAGCAGTGCTCGGCCTGGTGAACCAACAACTTCCTCACCCTTTCCTAGTTTTGCTGGATTAGCTCGTTCTTCTTCATGGTTTGAAATGAAGGGAGGTAATGATTTTGTTCTCTGTTAATTTCTCATAATGCTTATCCTGAAAACTGTCACCTTTGCTTTTCCTTGATATCTGCTTGCAATAGTGCTATATTTTATTCTATTTAGACATTAAAGTTACAAGATTTAATTGGGAGATGATGTTCACAGGTCATCTGCCTTTAACGTTTAGAACACCTCCTGTTAGCCCTCCTCGACAAAATTTCTTCACTGGCATGCGTAGAGCTTGCTCTCAAGAGTTCAGGCCACACCTGATGAATTCTCCTGACTCAGGATTAGCTGACCCACTTCTGGGTTCTTGTTCTGGGGGGCGCAGTTTTCTTCCACAATCAACTATCTATAATTTTAGTTGTGGCCACTTCTGCAAGCCACTTCTTACTACATCAGATGATGGTGAAGAACCATCAGCCAGAAGAGAAGAGCGGGAGAGATTTGCAATGGAGCATATTGCTAAATGCCAGCACTCCTGTATGCCTTTTAACTTTGTTTTTGGTTTGTTTTGCCAGTTTTCACTTTGAAACTAATAGGTTTCTCGTTTTCTTTGCTAGCTGTTAGCAAACTTAATAATAATAGTCAAATTGCTAGCTGGGATACTAGATTTGAGACAGGTACAAGAACAGCCTTGGTGCAACCTTTCCCTCCTATTGTGATTGCAGCTGATGAGAATGAACGGATTAGGTTTGTGATTTCTGTGTTAATGGATTCCTGTAGCAAGTCAATTCCAGTTTTGAATGTTAAATGATTTGAGATAACACGCCATTAAGAATTGATATTTTCTCATGTTCAGTCTGTGGGAATCTATCTATTAAGTGAAGGTGATAATTTTAGGCCAAATTAGAAATGTGAGCAGGGTAGCGGAAACTTATTGAAAACATTGGTAGTTTGGGATATTCACTTTTTTTTATTAGAAAATATATTTCCTTAAACCTTTTACTAGAAGCTTTAGAGTAACCTATTAGGTTCTGAGTAATGAAGAATGAAAATGCCCTTGAAGTTTTAATTGAGGAATGGGCATGTCACTATTTCATGCCCGATATAATTAACTAGGAACGAGAGTATATGCCATTGTCAGTTTTTCCATGTAAGATACTCTAATTTGCTAGCATTGACCTGTTTTTAAAATTTTAGAGCATGTTGGTTCAAGTACTTGTACAATTCAAGAACAGTTTGTCTTTATCCCATGATCTCAAAAGATTTTCTCTTCCATTTCTGAAGCAAAACCATTGGTCTTAGTTTTTGGAATTTATCCTTGTATTCAGTAGATATGATACTTCACTGATTTTGGAAGAAAATTTGAGATGTATTTTTAGTGTAAAATTCTACATACTCAGTTAATAAAAATTTGTTATTCAATAAAAAAATTAGTATCTATTAATGAGATTTATTTTTGATGTGTTTTTTGTATAATACTATATAATTCAATGAGTTACAACTTGTCATCTCATTGAAATGTTACTTATTGAAATTAACATTTATTTGTAAGGTTTTTAAAATTTTTTAATAAGATGGTGAGCTGTAATCATTGATGGTGCAAAAAGTTATACACCAGAAATGCATCAATTTGAATCTTATTAATATAGATTTTAAAAAAGATTTGGCAAGGTGGCCAATTGTGATTCATATTCACATGGTATGAATAAGATATAAACTCTTAACTTTAAGAAGATTGATATTTTTGGTTTCTTATAAGATCTGTTGCTAACCTATAATTATATAATGAAAAAGTAGAATTCTCTTATTCATGACAGGTGATATATTGTAAATTGCTTTCTGCAAGTGGCTCTTGTTTTGTTACTGAAAAATGAACAATGCTTCTGAAATCAGTTAGATGAGTTTGGTACTACTTTTTGTTTTCTGTGACACTTTCACCATTTGTTTTTGCAAATTATTTGCTGAAATTTAATTTTTTGGTTTTTCTTTTCAGGGTATGGAATTATGAGGAAAACACCCTCCTCAATGGTTTTGATAATCATGATTTTCCAGAGAAGGGAATTTCTAAACTCTGTCTTTTGAATGAGCTTGATGACAGCTTATTGCTTGTCGCTTCATGTAATATTCTTTTCCACCTTTTTCTTTTAATGTTTCATGGTGGCTTTGTTTTGTTAAATTAATTTAGGGCTTATCTCTTGCAGGTGATGGAAATATCCGGGTTTGGAAAGATTATACACTGAGGGGCAAGCAGAAACTCGTTGCTGCATTTTCTTCAATACAAGGTCAGAAACCTTGTGTGCGGAGTTCGAGTGCTGTTGTAGACTGGCAGCAGCGATCTGGATATCTTGTATGTACTTATTCTAAGAATGTTATCTCTAAGAAAGTGTTCCTTGCTCATTGTTTGATGCCTAATATAGTATTCTTCATTGCTTTGATATGACAACTAGTATGCTTCTGGAGAGATATCATCCATCATGCTTTGGGATCTGGATAAGGAGCAGCTTGTTAATTCAGTACCGTCAGCCTCGGATTGCACTGTCTCAGCACTGGTGGGTCTTCAATCTCCTTTGCATTTATGCTCATAGTTTACCTCATCAAAGTAGCAATCTTATAGAAGTTACAAGTTTGGAAAAATTACAGCATATCACTATCGGATTGGCAAATAAGAAGCATGCTGTATTGGATAACAAGCTATGCTGGAAAGTTGTTAAGTTTTATTAGTTTGGATGCTTTCCTGAATGTTCAGAAGGAGGTTAGTTATATGTCAGATTACTTGAATCGTACCTTACCTTTGCATTTGATTTAAGTTATTTCTTGGGTTTGATGTGTAAAGGAAGGTAATTGTTTTGTTGTTTTTTTATTTGGTTTGTTTGTTCTTTTTGTTTTGCTGACATACTTTTCATCTAGGAACTGAAACTGCATTCCATTCTTGGTGAAGAATAAAAACGGCATATGATTTTTCTTCCACTTTCATTAAAGATCTAACTCTTCAAGTTTATCTTGTCATGACTTGTAGTATTGACCATTAATAGTTTTTTTTCGTTCTTTGCTTTTCTTTGTTTTCGCAGTTTATTTCAGTTGCCTATTTTCCTCATTGATTTCCTTTCCCTATATTTACAGGCTTCTTCTCAAGTTCATGCTGGTCAATTTGCTGCTGGTTTTGTGGATGGTTCTGTAAGACTCTATGACATTCGGACACCGGATATGTAAGCACTCTATAATGAATTCTTTATTTTTTTCAGAAGATAATGAATGATATTCTTCTGGAATGATGGATTTTTCCTGTTTGTGATATCATTTTGAGCTTCGAATGATGTGACCTTCCCCATTGTTGATTTTATTCCTGTGACCTTACCAGTTTAACATAGATTCCCTTCCCATTAACTTTGTCAACTAGTGGAAGTGAAATATTTTACAACTAGTTTATTACTATCATTTCACTCATCCAACAGTCATCACCATACACTTGATATTGCTCTCATAAACTTGGGAAACTTGACTGCTTTTATAGTGCTTAACACCTCCCCTCATTTTTACTTGCCTCCCTCTCTTTTTTCGGAAGAAAATGCTCTCTCATGTTCTCATCTGTATTTTCTGTCTGACCCAAGATTGTTATTTATGTTTTAGGCTGGTTTGTGCAACTAGGCCGCATACTCAGCAAGTGGAAAGAGTTGTGGGTATTGGCTTTCAACCTGGACTTGATCGAGGAAAGGTAAGCAGCCCGCAGGTCTTACGTTTGGTAAAAGGGGTGTTCAAATGTTGTCATCATCTTCTTCCCTGTTGAACATTTCATTGTGGTTTTGATTGAGGAAATACAGATAGTTGATGAACTTTACATGTTTTTCAGATTGTTAGTGCATCCCAGGCTGGCGATATTCAGTTCCTTGATATTAGAAGTCAAAGAGATACTTACCTTACAATCAATGCTCACAGAGGCTCACTTACAGCTTTAGCTGTTCATAGACATGCCCCAATAATTGCTAGTGGCTCAGCGAAACAGTTAATCAAAGTCTTCAGTCTGGAAGCCGAACAACTAGGCATCATTAAATACCAACATACCTTCATGGCCCAGAAGATTGGTTCTGTGAGCTGCCTTGCCTTCCATCCCTACCTAGTGTTGCTTGCTGCTGGTGCTGCTGATGCCTGTGTTTCTATCTATGCTGATGACAACTCTCAGACAAGATGAATGTTCAATTCTTTCCCAATTTCATAAATTTGGGAGGCAGCAAACGGTGGTTGAAACATTGTTAGCACAAATTTCATGGAGTCAGAGATCCAGGTTAATGGGTGCAAAAATTTGAGTTTGGATCATTAAGCGTTCGGTGTTCTGATGCCACATTTACAATTTGGGTGTTCCTGGAAATTCAGGGAGCACAATCCGCTGATTGTAATGCTATATATATAGAGACATTCATTAGCCTCCGGTGGTGATTGTTTCACACATGTTTGGAAGAAATCCTATCCTGTATATGGGCTTTAGCAAATAATTTGTTATATAATAGGTAAATCCATGTAAATAGTTTTCCCATTATTTCATCCTTTTCAGTGTGTTCATTGTTCCAACTCTTTGTTTAATTTGTAAAAGCAGCAAACAGACTTTTGTCATTATCATAATTTAAACTAGCGGAAGAAGATAAGTTGTGGGCAAGCCCGAACTTTCTGCCACTCCCCAAGTCCCTGCCACTTTAATTGTAAAGTCTAGCATCAACCATCCCAACAAATATTCCCCAACTATATCTGGATCTAACAAATAACAAATTTACAAAATCAGATCAAACTTTGGTTGGGTTCGTAATGAAATCACCTTAATTGACGAATCACCATAATGGTTGTTTTAGTAAGAACAAAAACTATGACATTCGACTTAATTCTGGAGGTGGCAGTGACAGAAGGCTATAAACATCTTAGGCATCACACAAGGAAACAATAATGAATCACATATCAATCTGAGAGACAATTCCATCTTAGATACGGATTTAGACCATATTCGTATGGACATATCGATGCATAAAAGCCACAATGTCTCATTTCCTTCCACCAACCATACTTTGAGTAGTACCCGACAAGCTAGGGGATGTATTGCTCGTCGTCTTAAGCCTTCCATTGGCATTTCCAAGCACATTCAAATCTTCAAACAATCTGTATGATGGAATAAAGGGCTTCTGTCCTGCCACAGGAGCGGGATTCCTAGGTCCCACACTCGCCCAAGAATCCCCATTCATTGGTGCTCCATTGCTGCCTTTTACGGGGAATGAATTAACGTGCTGCAAGGGTCTGCTCCCTATCACAGGATTTGATGTGGTAGAATTCACTTGGGGAGTAGAAAACATGTTATTAGTAGAGGATAGATGATTTTGGCTGTTCAAATAACCTGGAGTTGCAGCCCATGGTGGAGGGGGATACCCAGATGAGTATTGAGGATATTGAGGTTGAAAATGTGGCTGATATTGAGGTTGTAAGAAAGACTGGGCTCGAGTTTGGGATTGTGCTTGGACCTGCGGTTGAGTTAGCTGTTGTGCTTGGTGCAGAGGTTGGGGCTGGGGATGGGATTGCGGCTGCAGATGGACTTGGGATTGTGCCTGTAACTGTAGTGATTGGGACTGTGGCTGGAGTTGAGGTTGGGGTTTAGTTTGGAACTGAGATTGGGCCTGATGCAGTGAATTTGACTGGTTTTGAGTTTGGGATTCTACCTGGAACTGGCTTTGGGATTGGGATTGTGGGTGAATTTGAGGTTGGGACTGTGGTTGTACTTGTACCTTCTGTGGGGAATGATATTGTGGCTGCACTTGAGGCTGAGGCTGAGACTGAGGCTGGGCCCAGGGAACAACATAACTATTATAAGGCAGCTGTCCCTGACTTCCAAGGTATGTTTGGGAAGTGTAAGGATATCCCTGGGTGCTAGGAGGAACAGGAACCTGATGCATATTTTGGTGAGATGCAGGTGGTGTAGAAGGGGTATGGGGAGAGGAAGCAGATGTTGTTGACAAGGTGAGGCTTAGAAGATCAATCAAGTCCTGCTCTTTTGTAGTCCTAACGGGTGCAGGTCGATCTAGCAAAGCTAATGCATTGCTCGGAGTAGAGGTTGAAGCAGTTGGCATATTCGAAGTTGTCAAAGTAATATTGTTGATTGGCACAATAGCTTCACTTGTTCCAGCAGATGTACTCTGAGAAGACGTGGACTGTGCTCTGGAATGCCTGCACTCGCAATAAACGTGAACCAGTCAAGAACTGACCTAAACCTAACACATTTTAAAACTATGATGTTTGATCACAGATGAAAAGAAACAAGGTCAACAAGCTCTTGGCCTTTTATAAAGGATGATAATAGTTATCAAGACTTGAGATGGGTTCTGCCGAAAAGAGTTGACTAGTATGTCTAAACAATAACCTAAAACCAAGTTCTGTGTTTCTTTTTTTTTTTTAATAAAAGGAAAGAACAAATAAATTATCATGGGCTGTGAATTGTGATTAATGCTCAGATTCTCTATGTGGATTTTGCCTAACTACAAGCGATATTCACTAACAAAAAATTACTTATTTCTAGGATTGTGACAGGAAATATACGATGAATTAGAGGTTAGCAAATGAAACCTTCTAGCTAGCTGGGCAAAATCATCTTCCTCTTCTTCCTCTTCATCAATCTGGCTTCTTGTCACAGAAGCAACGGGTGTAGGTGGTCTAAAATTAGGTGCTGGACTTGAATTCTTCACTTCATTTGATTTGTTGGAGTTACTTGCTACAGTTGGCTTGGAGTTTACACCAGTGTATTCAATTGGCAGGGGGGAACCTGAAGCTATGGCATCATGTTTTGCTAGTAAGCTTTGCAGGCCATCATTTAGTTCAAGACCTCGAGCTAAAAGTTCCTCATCCCTGCCACATAGCCAAGAAAGAACTTTTGTATTTACACATTGACCGCGTGCAAAAGAAAGAACTTCTGACTTTTATAGAAATCCACACACAAGTCATGTGCAAACAAAGAAACATAAGCATAAAGGTGGATGCCATAGATAAGATGACCATTAAGATGATGATAATTACAAAAAAAAAAAAAAAGCTTTCAGGACACAAGCTTTTATGTTCCATGGTGCATCCCATTGTTAGCCCTAGACCTCCCAAATAGGGTTCCAATAATTGGGCAGAACAATCTGACAGAGGAATTAGTGAACAGAGATAATAGAGAAGGCTATGTACTGAAAATCATTAGCGCCATTTAAAGAAGAGAAATTTGGAGACAACTAACCCAGTGGTTGTAAGCATCTGCATAAGCTTTTTTTGGTTGGAACGGCATCGGTTGACAAGATCAACTATCACTTCATCTTTTACTGCCTGCCAATACAGACAAAAAGTACAGTTAAAGATTTCACTCTCAAATTAAATTAAATAAAGGTTTGATTAAAAATAAAAAAGGTTTTATTATTGTTGTTCATACCGCACGTTCACTGGGGTTTACAGCTTGCAGCATGTCACTTAAGAGGTCCATAACATCCCTCATAGATTCCAAGCTAGACAAACTAAGATAATCAAAGACAATTTCAGCCAAAAGAAAGTAGTGAGACAAAAACATCTATAGATGAACATACAAACTTTATAAACAAAACTAAAGTGAATTTAGACCTTAAACTTTCAATCTCTGTAGCCATTGTTTCGTCAAGCCTTCTAGAAGAATTGCTTGGCATTCCATAACCAGGATGATTCAGGGTTGGATGCGTAGCAGGGGGTGTAAAGATAGGAGCTGCGTTCGATGAACGCTTGGGAAATTCTACTCCAGAACGCTGCCATTTGTACAGTTATATAATATTAGAATCACTAGAGTAGTCAAATACGATGAGAGTAATTGATCTTAGAAGTGGTAATCCTTGATATCATGTCCTTGATGCCGGTCCAGTATGAGACATAACTACTTAAGGTGCTATGCTTACCCTTAGCTCATCATATGCCCAGTAGTACTGAGGATATTTACCCCCAGGACCACCAAATGCCTCCTGCCAAGATTCCAACAAAGCCAAGATTTTATCCCTCACAAGCATATCAGCCTGCAGAAATCAGGGAGTCAGGCTCATTAAAACTGACAGATAGATGGAGATTTTAAATAGAAAGAGATGGCAGATGAAGCATTTAGATCAGATAAAGTTCAACAAACAATAATAGTAATAAAAACTGTCATATATCAGCAAAACAATGTGAGAACAAGATAAAAATAAATACAAATGAGATGCTCAATCCATGCACCAAAAGTCAAAACATGCATAAAAAGCATTTCAGCTAAACCAATGACTTGGTCAAGGAAATCACCTCAAAAGCAAAATAACCGGACAACCACTACAATTCAACATTCATAACTAGCTCAATGATTTTCAACACCCATCACTTTTGGAGTCATGTCATCCTTCAGAAAAATTCCTGTCCTCACAGATAACATGAACCAAACTTAAATTTGGGATGCAAATAAGGCAGCTAGCATGTACCCCATTGGTTCACAAACACTAGTATCAGTCCTCAGTTGAAAGTGAATGCTAAGCACCTTCAATGGAGAAATAAGATTTGTCTTCCTTCAAAGGACATATGTTACATCATTAATTTTCCTCCAACATCTTACCACATGCACAAATCTTCATCCAAGAACTACATTCGCAGCACTCTTGCTTTTATTGTAGACTTTTGCTCTATAGCTAACAATGACCCCTTGAAACCTAATGGCTCTAAACTAGTTCTATGCATTCTAAAGACCATTAAATTAAGATAACTACATACGAGCAAGAATCCTTTTCGAAAAGGAAAGAAAGTAAGCAATAATAGTTTTAACCAGAAGAACAAGACCAACAATTCTTGTTATAATCAAATCAGGAAGATCAAAAGTACCCTCTTCTTCACAATTTTGACCATCTCCCCCAATATATTCCTCTCAGCAATCTGAAAATGGACATAGTCACCACAATTCTTCACCATCGTCTCCAAAAGCTACAAATGGTAAATGACACGCTGTTAATCCACAAATACACATGATACATGAAATCCCCAAAAAACAGAAAAGCAATTTTGAAAAATTATTTTCCAATAAAACTTACCGTTAAAGCAAGTAATTGCACTTTAGAACTCTTGTGTTGCAACCTTTTCTTCACAGCCTTTACAACATCCTTTGCTTGCCTGACAAATTCAACACCCACAGATCATATCAGTAAACTAGAAATTTTTATATTTTTAATCAATTAAATGTTTTTTTTTTCCTCAGAAGGCCTTTCACTTTACAGTAATGGTTGAGAAAATTTCATCACTTTTTCTTCAATTAGCTTCATCTAATTCAACACAAAAACTAGCTTTAAAATATCAAAAAAAGCAGAGAAAATTCAATAAATTCCATCAAAGAAAAAGAAAATCAACATCCATAATTCAGCTATATTAGATACATAAACCAAAAGAAAAACAAGAAGATATGGGAAAATTACAAAACAACAAAATTAAATATCAACATAAAAGCATGCACGTGGAAATTAAGAAATTAAACAGAAAAAAAAAATCAAAGTCAACTCCTTTACAAAAATTGACGAAGAAAAAAAAAAGATTGAAACTTTTTACCAATGATTAGAATTAACAGAATCGCAAATATCGATGTTCATAGTCCAATCGGGACCGATTAGAAGATCGCTCGTTGCCTTGTCTACTGCTACTGTCGCAGCTGACGATGAAGCTGATGACATCATCATCATCTTTCCTCTTCTCTTCTCTTCTCTTCCTTTTCCTTTAAAAATAACAAAATATTTTCTGCTTGTTTCCCGAGAAAATTCCACCAAATGAACAACAACAACAACAACAACAACCTCAAAATTTTCCCTAGAAAATCACACCAACTTTTCCTTACCTTCTGTTTGGATGCCTAGAAAAAAACAAAAAAAAAAAGAAACTGAAAACCCTAGAGAAAAATGTAAAAAGCGAAATTCTTTCTTTCTTTCTTTCTCTCTCTCGTTTTCTCTGCTTTCCTTTTAAAGACCTTCCAAGCCAGAAAATTTCATTTCATTTGTAATTTGTAATTTTCTACGGAAAATTCGTTTCTTTTTATTATTAAGCTTTTTTCTTCTCCATTAGTGCGCTTACCGACGCGCTACATTATATCGTGAAAAGAACGCGCTGCGTTGGTGCAATCTTATCTCGTTAATGGTTTAGCAGATTACGAGGAGCCACTGTTGGAATTAATGTTTGGTGGTGAAGAAAGTGAATTTTCTAGGAAACTTCTTTTTATCAACTTTTGACTATAATTTAAATGTATTTATATAATTAAAATTAAATTAAACGTCATCGTAGAATTTATTTAATTAATTTTTTTATCCAAAGAAGACAAATTCCAGTTAAAATTCACATCCACATGTTTTCTTCAAAAATTTTAATTATTAAATCACGAGGTAAAAATTATTTAATTAATATTTTCATATGTACGAATAATATTAATTAAAATTATACTATATAAACATTTTTAATTAATAAATAATTACAAAAGATCTTATTTAATTACAATCAATCGGTTCTTATAAATATCCTTTAATAAAATCTTTTTAAAATACAATTTAGGAAGAACATTTTTTAATTTAATTATCAAAAAAATTGTCAAATAGAGCCGATTTTTTTTATTTATTTATTTTTGTAAAATAAAGTGTGAGATGGGACATGAATTTCCTAGAAATTAACGGAAAATGCCAATTATTGTAACTATGCAAAGAGCAAGTGACGAGAAAGTTATTGGAAGAACAAAAGAAGCAAATCAATTATGAAATATGCCTTTGGCTTTGAATTTTTGTGGGTTGGAAATAGAATTTGGAATTCCATTTACAAACATCTATGATACTTCATTTATTCAACAATTTGTTCAATTATGCTACCTTTTGTCCAAATTTTAAATTTCTTTCTCGAAATTTCATTGTAATTATGATCTCATTATTTTCGTAAAAAAATTTAATTTTATAAAATTAAAATTAAATTTTCTAATACTTATAATTTTTAATTATTTTTAAGTTACGGTATAATTAACATAAAAAATATTAAACTTAATAATCGTTGAGATTTTAAGAATAAAAATTTTAAATTCTAATTAAGTCGTAATCCAAAAAGAAAATGATAGATAAATAAATGAAAATGGCATGAGGAGGATGATTTGATTATCTTGTTGAAGGAGGTGGAGGCAACTAAACTTTTTCTTCACATCAAAAATAATAACAAGGACAATACTAGTCAGAAAGATAATAGATGATATGTGAGATTTGGTTAATTTTAATGGAAAAGGATTGCGACATTTAATTTTATAATAGTGGCTGGCGGCGTATATCTTTGACTCAACCAATATTGTTTATATGTCAGATGTTACTCCAATAATTAAGCACTAATATGGAGTGGCTGTCATCCAGAGTGAGAAAAAAAATGAAATAAAAAATTATTTAAAATCATAGCATACGATTTTTATTTTATTTTTTATTTGATTTGAATTAAATTTGAATAATAAATATATATATATATATATATACATTAATTTAGATTAAATTTTAAATTGAGAAATGAAAACTTAATTGAATAAAAAAATTATATATTTTTATTAATTTTTATGTATGTTTTAAATTTTTATAAAATAAAAATAATTGATTATATATAAATTTATTTAAATATATTAAAATTTATATTAAAATAATATATAAAAAATAAAAAAATAAATTGAATAGATAAAATTTAATTTAAATAAAATCAATTTAAATTCAAATCGAATTTGACAAATTTTATTACTCGTAATCCTACTTAGCCTATGCCCAACTACGTATTTATTCTTGCTGCATTTAGTCTTGGTCTTCGGAGAATAAGAAAGCATAGCCAATTAAAGGTTATTGGAGTTGATCAGTATCCCACTCACTCACCCAAAAGAAGGCATACAGGAAACAAATCCTTTTCGAATAATTAACTTTTTTTTTTTTTGTCTTTTCCTTTCCTTTTAATTCATTATTTTGTTTTTAATATTTAATATTAATACGATCTGAATTTTGAATACTAAAATTTATTAAAATTATTTTAAAATTTATATTCTTAATAATAAAAATTTTCAATCTATCAATCTTTATTTTTTAATTAATTTTTTATTTTAATGAAAAATCTTACGAACTTAATTAACCTAAATTACAATTCTTACGTTTTGGGTTTTTCCGTTGTTGGTGTGGGAAACTATAAGCAAAAAGCAAGTCAACGGTTATGTGTTCCCATCATTCCTTGTGTGACAGCCATCATGATTTCAGGTCTTCCATGGAAATACAATAATTCTCCATCAAATTGCAAAAGCAAAAATTTTTCTAGGCATTGATGATGGATGCAATCAAAGTATCCTACCCTTCTAATTTCCCCTCTTTCTCTTTCAATTTGTGGATGTTGACATGTGCTAAGCCTAAACCAAAGGGGTTGCTCGCAACGGATAAAATATACATGAAATTTTTTAAGTGAAATCTATAAATTTTGAAAAAAGACTTAATAATAATTTTAGTAAAAAATTTAAATCAATAAATTAATAAAAATTAATAATACTAAAAAAATTATTTATAATTTAAATTTGATTGATACTTATTAAATGATTAAAAATTTATCAATATTTTATTAAAAATATTTATATAAAAATATATATATTTATTAATTTTTTTAAATCGATATATTTAATTTATGTAATGAAATATTTAATATATCAATTTTAATTTTTATTTAATCATTTTTAATAAAAAATTTTACGAATTTTACTTAAAAATTTTGTCTAAAAATTTCTTGTTGGCAACTATCACAGCCTAGGATACTCCTGCTTTCGAAACAGTCTGACCATGCATAAAAGCACAGCAGGCATGCAATCGATCACGCCCAGCAAAATTAAAGGCACCATTGTGAACACATGCGCAACTATATCCACATATTGTTGGCCCATGCTCCAGCAAAAATTACTGCAGATGGTTAATCAAGGGTAATTACATACTACTAATTACTTTTTGACAGCTTTTCAAATTCAATTCGAAGGCATTTTTTATCCACCAAGGTTAAATGTATGCAATTTAACTATAATTGTCAATAGGACAAGTCCAATAAGGTTTGTATTAGGTTATTTTGAGATTGTCAACATTTAAATTTGAACTATGATTATTAGAATTAAAAATTAAGTATTCAAACAAATCATGTATCTGTTGATTGTATCACATTATTTTGAGTTAAAGAAAATTAAGTTATTTCAAATAATTAATCATTTTGAATTTGTATTAATTATTTAGACTTGACACTTTAATTTAGTGAGTTCGAATTTAAATTCTTTTGAGTCAAAATTATAAAATTATAAAATTTAAATTAATTTAAATTTGAATCATTTCAAATTAAAATTTTTGGTTTTTCAACTTTGGATCGATACATGTTAAGGTCAAATAACTTCAGAGTCATTAACATTTTTTTAATTAAATCGTGTTTGATTGTGTCAGATAAATATTTTCTTGGGCTATCTTTGTTAGCTCTAAATTCAAATAAGAAAATAAAAACTAAAAATGAGCAATTAAAGTAATTTATTGAACATACATAGATATCAAAAGGAGTACAAAGTTCAACATTATTTAATATGTCGAGATAATGATATGTGGATACATATACAGCAAGGTTTCCTCACAAAGGGAGGAGGATAGTGGTGTTGTATGTTCAGTCCTCGCCGCTACGATCAGCATTGATTTCATCAAGAACAACCACCAGAGCAACAATGAATGCGTAATCAACATTAGGGTATGCAGTAACTCCATAAGTGTCTGTGTCAAATACCATGGTTTTCACGTTGTGTTTTCTATGCATCTGCATATGTGTTGCACACACCCATTAATGACTTCAAGCTAAGATTTCCAATCAAACTCTTAATTCTTATATTTTATGATTATTGAACGGTGTAATAATAATATTTTTTGTTATATATATATATATGTATGTATGTATGTATGCATGTATGTAAGTTTCATCAAGAACCATTAGGGTATGCAGAAACTCCATAATTGTCTGACTCAAATACCATGGTTTTTACGCTGTGTTTTCTATGCATCTGCACATATGTTGCACACAACCATCAATAACTTCAAGCTAGGATTTCCAATCAAACTCTTAATTCTTGTGTTTTATGATTATTAAACAGTGTAATAATATTATTGTTTGTTTTATATATATATGTATGTATGTATGTATGTCTCATCAAGAACCATTGGGGTATATAGTAACTCCAAAATTGTCTGTGTCAAATACCATGGTTTCATGCTGTGTTTTCTCTGCATCTGCATATGTGTTGCACATACCCATTAATGACTTCAAGCTAGGATTTCCAATCAAACTCTTATTGATTCTTATATTTTATGATTATTAAACGGTGTAATACTATTATTTTTTGTTACATGTATATGTGTGTGTGTGTTTCATGTCTATTACGTTATTATTATTGGAAAATCCTGCATAAAAACTTAAATTTTGGTTAAAAAAGATTGAAAGTATGATTTGTTTAGTACTTCGACTAGTTTTTTATGGTCAACGGAAGGATCATGATATATAAAATCCCACCTTCATCTAAAAATTTATGAGAAAGTGAGAGTTATACTAAGTGTCTGTTCGATGCTAGAGTCGTGTTTGGCCTCAAACACGTTGCTAGTGTGGAGAGAATGAATCCCTACTGCACTAAAGTTCATCATCGAATGAGAACTTAATTACATGAACAGTGGAGAAAAAGGGGAAGTTTTTTTTTTTTTTTTTTTTGGGTATTTAGGAGGTAAAGGTCTAAAGAAAATTGGAGAATGAAAAGTTTAAAGGAGTGGGATCGATCCCAAACCTTGTTGGAATCCATTTCTTAAAGAGAGTAGGTGCACTATTTGATTAAGACACACCCACATGATCCAAAATGATATTTGCTCTTCCAAAATGATAAAAAGGGGGTGCAATTAAATTAAAGCGTTTACAACTAATTACCTCTGCAATTATGGTGTCTCCAGCATAAATAGTGCAACTGCTCTCATGCCAGCCCCCTTTGATCCTGAAATCAGGCTGTGATTCACTGGTATTGGATGCCAAGAAAACGTCTAATGTTGTCTTGAATTGGAGCATAGAAGATTTCTTCACACTGAATAGCAAATCATCGGAGCTGTTGCTTTCTCCTTTAAAAACTTGCCATCTCCTATGTACTGTCAATATCTGACAAATCACATATAAAAATGATGCCTTAAATTTCAATCATAATTCATAAATTTTCCTGTATCTACTAATGAAACATTTAATTTCACTTGAAATATACAATTTCCAATCATATAATGATTTAATGATCAATTAAACAAAAGAGCAAAAAAAGAAAAAAACCATAGTTTTAACGGTTAACGTCTTCTGTTTCTGATAAAAAATTGAAAATTTTAGATCGAAATGAGTTCAGACATATAAGAGAAACATATATTCTGTGTCTTTTAGGACATATTTGGTCTAAAAGGGTAACAAAATTTACCTTCTGTTTGAGAGAGACGAGAGGATTTCCAGCGGCGTCAAGTAAAACGCGACGATCACGAAGGCTGAACAGTTTACCTTTAACCTTGAAAATAGGGTTACCATTAACGTCGGTAATATTAAAGTTATTTTCTGCAAGTGTAAATACTTTCTGTTGTATTTTAAGTTCCACGGGGTATGTGGCTAGGAACTGTTCTCCAATCACCACAATGGGGTTAGCCACCGGCGTATAGGCATTGGCCGGTGCTGGCACTGGCAGGTTTCCTCCTATTGCTGCCATTGAATTTATTATCCAAAATTTCAGAGAGAATTTGAAATTTTCTTTTGTTTTTTTGGGTTTTTGATCAGAATTCTTCCATTAATATTTGCAATTATATATGCAAATTGATCAAAAAGCCAAAGGCATCGGTAAAACTTGGAATGGTAAATGTGTGTGAATTCCAGGAGATTTCTGTTGCAACGTTACGTGTTCGAATTAAATTCTTTCGCCGGTTACTGGTTTGTTTGGAATGAGGCCAAGCCGGCCATGAATTGTTTTGTTGCAACGCTTTCACGTATAACAATGCAAATTTGTTTTTTACCTTTTTTTTTTTCAAATTCAACTATCACAAAAAAGGACAGATAATTAACTTAAAGAAATGGATAATTGACTATTTGCTACAAAACAAACAATTAATTTTCCAATAAAGTTTGTACCAAAAATTTAACTATCTGGCAGAAGATGTATTTAGATTCTGTTTGTAAAATAAAAATCATAACTGAAAAATGATTTTGAATGGTGAAATTTTTGCATATTTGCTGGTTGTTTTAGTTTGGATTGTCCAGTAATTTATATTCTTCTTGATTACTTATATCAAAGATTAGTATTTGAGTATGATTGTAATTGATTTCTACTTTTATACATAATTTCATTAAAAAAATTGAATACTCCCATTGTTCCTAATATAGTACTTTCTTTCATATTTGATGAAAAAAATAATCTCAAATAATATTCAAACCGAATATGTCACGTAGCAAAAAAATTAAATTATCTCTATTATGTAAATCTAATAGGAATCAAACAAATATAGTTAACAAATAAATTACTAAATTACAAGCACAAGGATATAAGTAATTTACGTGAAAATCTTTTCAAAATGAAAAGTAAAAATCATGAGCAGTAACAAATAATATTCATTATCAAAATAATGAGAATACACAGTTTTTTTTAGCTAGAACTAGAGGTATACAACTATAATATCTCAAAATTAAACAATTTTGATAAGGAAACAATCTTGTAAGAGAAAATTGAAAAAGTTTCAACAAATTTAGAGATTAACAAATACTCACAAAATTAGTAGGTAGAAAACTCAAAACCCGATCTCCACCGTTCAGACTGAAGAACAATGAGTTTTATACACACAGATAAAATTTTAGCCAATCGGACAACCGATTGACCTTGATGAAACTACTTGACTGAAACTGCACAACACCCTTTTTTCTCCATTTTTTTTCTATTTTGCTGCTACACTCTTTTGTTTCCTTTTTTTAGTCATATAAAGGTTTAAAACCCTATAACTAAGAATGAAAGAACTAAAAAGTCCCTGGTGAATGGGCTTTAGTTTTAGGCCACATTCACATGAAGGAAACTAAGTCCAACAAATTTCTCATTTTCTAGCTATGTAGAGGGAATCGCCTTTCCGATGATCAAATGACAAACTTCAAGCTTCTCCCTTGGTAGCTATACCAACTCAGAAGATTATTCTCATGCAAAGACTTCATCTCATCTTGCATGGCATCAACCCACTCTTTTTTGTTTTCATTTTTCATGAGCTCTACATAATATTCGGGTTCTCTCTTGTCAGTTATTAATACATGCTCATCAACAGAATATCATGTGAAAGGCTGTCGATCTCTAGTAAACCTCCTTATTGGAACTTTTAGTAAAACCTTCGGCTGACCTCTGATATTGGTGACTATTCATGGGTATCATCACCCACCTCAACCTATGTAAGACTGGTATCAACATCACTTGTATTATATTGATTATCCTTAATATCTTCAACCTCTATAGGCACATGTGTTAGAAGAACTAGATCCAAGTTAATCAAACCATCACTGCATCATGGAACTAATGTATCAATCTTTTGAATATATTCAATGCTCTGGTCTTCAACAAAAACAACATCCCTGCTTCTTACAAGTTTCTTCTACATTGGATCATAAAACTTATAGCCAAACTCATCTTGGCTATAGCCAAGGAACACACATTGTCTAGTCTTAACATCAAACTTGGACCTCTCATCTTTGAGAATATGTACAAAAGCCTTACATCAAAAGTGCGCAAGTGATCATAGGACAACCTTGCCTGACCAAACTGTATTTAAAACATCAAAATCTAGAGGAACACATGGTGAGAGATTCAAAACATGTACAACTATACTCAAAGTCTCACCCCAAAAAGATTTTGATAACTGTACTTGTGAAAGCAAACGTTTCACTCTTTTTATTAGTGTGTTGTTTATCCTTCAGCTAACCTATTTAATTGAAAAGTTTTATGAGGTGATTTTTGATGTCTAATACTTTACTTTCTATAATACTCATCAAAAGGTCCAGTGTACTCACCCCATTATCAGTTCTTATGCATTTCAATTTCAACCCTATTTGTCTTCTAACTAAAGCATGAAATTGTTTAAATACATATAACACTTGGTCTTTTGATTTCAAGGTATAAGCCCATATTTTCCTTAAATGATCATTTATAAAAGTCACAAAATAGATGAAACCACCAAGTGTTTTTGTTCTCATAAGATCACAAACATCGGAATATACTAAATCAAGTATACTTGGCTTTCTTGATGGAAGGGATGTCTTGAATGCAATTCTAATTTTTTTCCCTACCAAGTAAGGATCACACTTCTTTAAGGATACATTCTTTATTCTAAAAAAATATTTTTCTTAGCCAAAACCTTCAAACCCTTATCGTTTATGTGACTAAGTTGCTTGTGCCAAAACTTAGTTGTATCATTATTATTTATTGCATTGATAATGGAATCAGATACTTTTACTTGCATCAAATACAATAAAGAGTGCTTCATACCCCTAGCTACAACCATAGAACCTTTAGTGAGCTTCCATGACCATCACAAAAAGTGTTGCAAAATTCTTTATCATCAAGTATCCTTGCAGAAATTAAATTCATGCGAATATTGAAAATGTGTTTAACATTTTTTAAGACCAACATAGTGCGATTATTGGTCTCTAAGAACACATCTCTCATACTAATGGCTTTAGTTGAGCCATCATTACTCATTCTAACACTCCTGAAATCATCAAATGTGTAAGATGTAAAATAGTATTTTCAAGATATAGCATGAATTTTGGCATTAATATCAATCACCCAACTAGTCTCATGGTATGTAAGATTAACAATATTATCATCATATAAAATAAGGAAGTCATCTGTGATAGTAACAACTTTATCAGCATCATTACGATCATCATTCTTCTTTTCTTTATCTTTGTCACTATTGTTGTCACTTTTCAACTTTCGACAATACTTTTTATACGCCCTTTTAGACCACAATACTAACACTCAACAATGGCAAATTTGTTAGACTTACTCTTGCTTCTGTCTTTATTTTTCGGACCTTTGCTTTTATTCCTCCCTCTATTTTTTATGACTAAGACCTCAGACTATGAATAAGAACCTTGTGACTTTCTTCTCATCTCTTCATTCAAAACACCACTCTTAGCCAGATCCATAGTAATAATACCATTTAGGGCTAAGTTAGATAACATTGTTCTAAATGTCTCTTATGAGTCCGACATTGTACCAAAAAGCTATAAGCCATATATCTCATCTTCAAACTTGATATTCATGCTAGCCAATTGATTAATAATACCTTGATATACATTCAAGTGATCTATCATAGGAGTTCCATCTTGATATTTCAAACTCATCAATTGTTTAATTAAAAACAGTTTATTATTCCTAATTTTTTTAGCATACAATTCCTTAAACATGCTCCAAAGAGTACATGCATGTGTCTCTCTACTAACATATTTCAAAACATTATCATCTACCTGCTGTCTAATATAATCATATATCGGTCGATGAAACAAATTCATGAATTTGTTTTATTTTCAATAACAAATATAGGCAAATAATAATTCTTCATATAAAGCAAGTCTTCTATCTTCCCTTTTCACACATGATAATTTGAACCATTCAAATTAATCATTCTACTTGTATTGGCTTCCATTATTCAACATAATGCACAAATCAAATAGCCTGAACTCTGATACCATTTTGATGGAATAAAATAATCTCAAACAATATTCAAATCGAATATGTCATGCAGGAAAAAAATCAAATTATCCCTCTCTTGTATGAATCTAGCAAGAATTAAACAAATAGAGCTAATAAATAAATCACCAAACCACAAGCACAAAGACATAAACAATTTAAGTGAAAACCTTCACAAAACAAGGAGTAAAAACCACGGATAGCAATAAATAATCTCCACTATCAAAATAATGAAAATAAAAGTTATCTCTAGTTAGAACTAGAGGTATACAACTACAATATCTCAAGATTAAACAATTTTGGTAAAGAAATAATCTTGCAAAAGAAAATTGGAGAAATCTTAGCAAATTTAGAGATTAACAAATACCTACGAAATTGGTAGGTAGAAAACTCAAAACTCGATTTTCACTATTCAGACTGCAAAACAATGAATCTAAACACACTAATAAAATTTCGGCTCAATCAGACAACAAATTGATCTTGATCAAACTACTTGATTGGAATTATACAAAACCTTTTTTTCTCTCTTTTTTTTTCTCTATTTTGCCGCCACACTTTCTTGCTTCTTTTTCAGTCATATAAGGGTTTAAAACCTTATATCTGAGCATAAAAAGACTAAAAAGTCTTTGGTGAATGGGTTTTAGTTTTAGGCTACCTCCACGTGGAGGAAACTAAGCCTAACAATATTTAACTTGTTCGGGGTTCCTTAATTAAGAGAGTGGTATGATATTTCTTATTGTATAGACTTTGTAATCACTTCTACCACTAAGATTTTTGAATAATTATTATTCTAATGTTTGAGAGAGTTCATTTCATTATAATTGGCATGGACTGACATTATAACAGCTAATTCTGAAAGCTGAAATCTAGTATTTGAAATCAGTAAATGGGGTCTTTCCAGTGGATAATCAGAACTGTTTATCATGCCAGGAGAGATAATCGGTTCTTCATTTGCAGATTCTCTAAAGAAATCAGGCAGAGGATGTTGAACATATCAGGCATTCAGAGAAAGGTGGGTGATTGAAATCTGAATTTAACTGGCCAGCGCTAAGCTTAGGGGGAGAGCTTTGATTACTCTCATGGCCAGGATTGCAGAGAAAGCTGTCATCGATTATGCAAGACAGGAAAAAAAAATAAAAGGTTGGCTGGATTTAGCCTTCTGTTTCTACTCCACAGCATCGAAGGACTCACCCGAGGGAAGCTTTATGGACTTAAAGGCGTTTCCAAGGAGTCCGTCAACTCTGCTCTTTGCCAGAATGGGGGTTTCAGCCCTGGGATTTTTGCTTAAATTGTATTATAAAGTGTTTTGTTTCCATGTAATATCTTAACTGTATGCTTGTTGCTGACCATTTCCTACTTTTTCTGGATAAATAAAAATTTTTGCTTCTCCCAAAAAAGGGTTATTCTTGTAATGCTAAGAGGCACTTGCTGCATTTTGTTCTTACAGCATTCTATAAATTCTGTCCACATTTTCGCTGGTGTCCTTCGAGTGCAAAGTTACAAGTGCTTGTCAATCAGCTCTCATTTCATAGTTAAAAGACTAGAAAATTTCTTGAAAAACAGAGTATGTGAGCAAAGCATTGCTAATATCCACATCACCAAAGCTAACAACAGTCAATTAGAGAGTCAAGACATGATGGTTGTTTCTGGTTGCAGTCATGCTCAAACGTTGGTCCTTATCAGGTTGCCGTGCCCAGGGGTGTAACTGTAGATCATTGCCAAGCGTCTTTACTTTAGTCTTCTGTCCCTGAAATCAAACATCTTCATCTTTCTCATTTTTCCTTGCTTAATTACGTGGTTCATATATAGACGCTATTATCTTAATCAATCACATTTGCTTGTTAGATTCCCAAGTCGGCCTATTGACTTCCCAAGTCTTCAATTCCAACTCGTTTCCAAGTCTCAATGAATGCTTAGAAAGCAAGGGTTCAAAATAGTCAATGTTGGCTCAATTTATTGAGCAAATTTCAATTTGAAATAGAAGGAGTCAATTTTCTATCTCTTTTTTTCTTTTTTTTCACATTGAGATCTTAACATCAAGGTCTCAAAGTGATCTTGGAGATAACAGCAAAGTTTCCTTTTAACTTCATTTTTCCAATTCTCAGAAGTTCCAAGCATTTATTTACTTTCTATAATATGGAAGTGGTTGGTGCAGTTGTGGAGGTGATACTATCCAAGGTGATTTCAGTTGCAGCCGAACAGATTAGCCTTGCAATGGGTTTCAAGGAGGAGTTGACAACGCTCCATGACTCACTTACTATCATCCAAGCTCTACTGCAAGATGCGGATAAAAGGCAAGAAGAAGACAGGGCCGTTAAGCTTTGGCTCGAGAAGCTTAGAGATATTGCTTATGAAGCTGACGATGTACTGGATGAATTTGCTTATGACCTTCTTCGAAGGAAGGTGGAGATTCAGAACAAAATGATGGAAAAGGTCAGCTGCTTTTTTTCGACTTCAAATTCTATAGCATTTGGTGTCATGATGGCTAAAAGAATTAGAAAGATTAATACATCTCTTAGAAACATCAACAACCAAGCCAATCTGTTTGGACTCCAGAGGAGAGTAACTGATATGATTATTCTGCCTAGAGGAAACCAAGTGTCCCACTCTTTTCTTGGAGATTCAACCCAAGTTATTGGAAGGGAATATGATGTTTCAAAAGCAATTAACCTGTTGATTAACTCGACTTGTCGACAAGCCCTCCCTGTTTTATCGATAATAGGGATGCCAGGTCTTGGAAAAACAACTTTAGCCAAATTAGTTTGCAAACATGAGCAAATACAAGAACATTTCAGTAGAATAATATGGGTTTGTGTATCTGACGATTTTAATGTTGAAAGTATTTTACTAGAGATGTTGGAATCTCTTACCCGAAATTCGTTTGCCATTAAAAACAAAGATACTACACTTCATAAAATGCTTGAAGTATTGGGAGGGGATAATTATCTTCTTATACTTGATGATGTATGGAATGAGGATATGGAGAAGTGGGAAGATCTAAGAAATTGCTTGTTGGGAATAACAAGAAATATGGAGAGTAGAATTATTGTGACAACTCGAAAGGAGAATGTAGCGTTGGCTATGGGAACACTTCCTGGTTATATGCATCATCCGCACAGACTTGTAGATGAAGAGTGTTGGTCAATAATCAAAGGGAGAGCATTTGCCGGAAACTACTCTTCCATACCTCTAGAATTGGAGGTTATTGGAAAGGAAATTGCTAAAAGATGTGGAGGTGTGCCATTGGTTGCACGGGTTATAGGTGGAACATTGAGCAATAAAAGTGACAAAGATGAATGGATGTCAATCAAAGATAGTCCTGCTTGGTGTTCATTTGAAATGGATAATGGCATTTTACGTGTACTTAAATTGAGTTTTGATCGGTTACCTTCATCATCCTTGAAGCAGTGTTTTGCATACTGCTCAATCTTTCCTAAAGACTTTGAAATTAAAAGGGAAAACTTAATTCAGCTTTGGATGGCTGAAGGGTTTCTTCAATCCTCTGAAGTAAGTAAGGTGGAGATGGAAATTATCGGTAACAAGTATTTCAATGACTTAGTATTGAATTCCTTGTTCCAAGATGTGGAAAGGGATGTATATGGAAACATTAAAACTTGCAAGATGCATGACTTAGTTCATGATCTTGCTCTGTTCGTTTCAGAAGCAGAATCCTTGGTTTTCGAGAAGGCTGGTTCCATGAATAATGCTTCTCGTATTCGACGCTTGAGTGTCATTTCCACCGGAGAAGAGGCACCAACTATTCCAGAAGCTGTTGCTACAAAGTTGCGTTCTTTGTTTTCCAAGGTTGATATCTTCAACAGTATCTCAGAGGAACCCAGAAGCCTCCGAGTCCTAGATTTTCAGAATCCTAACGTTGAGAAGTTGCCAGCTTATCTTGGCAAATTGAAGCATTTAAGGTACCTTAACATTTCAAGAACTAAAATCAGAAAGTTACCGAAATCTTTCACCCGACTCTACAATTTGCAGACGTTAAGACTCATGGACTGCAGTCTCGAGAGGCTTCCCAAAGGAACAACAAGACTGGTTAGCTTGAGGCATATTTATTTTGATGAGGAAAAGATTATGCCAGTCAAGATTGGATGCTTAACAAACCTTCGAACATTGCCATTCTTTTATGTGGGAGTGGAAAAAGGACACCAAATTGAAGAACTTGGTTGCTTGAGCCAACTCAGAGGAGAATTAAAAATATACAACCTTGAGCATGTAAAAGAGAAAGCTGAAGCCATTAGAGCTAAGTTGCAAGAGAAGACAGAAGTATATGAGCTGGAACTGTTATGGAGCTTCAAAAGAGAAGGCTATAGCAATGACAAGGAAGTATTGGAGGGCCTCAAGCCTTGCTCAAATTTGAAAAGCTTAATGATTGTAAATTATCAGGGAGACAGCTTACCATCGTGGATGCTGATGACTGTCCATGGTTTTGGCTACACATTTCCCCTTGACAATTGGTTTCTTTGAAACTAAATAAATGCACGGAATGCATAAACATTTCGAGTCTTGGGCAGCTGCGGAATCTAAAAATTCTTGAACTAGATGGAATGGAGAGGGTGAAATGCATATACAACAGTGACACAGCAAGCAATAACTGGGGTTGGGGTGAGGCAATCACACTATTCCCTTCATTGAGACGATTCAGCTTAGAGAATATGAGCAGTCTTGAAGAATGGGTACAAGGTGTGGACCTGGGGACAGAAGGAAGAGAAGACATCGTCTTGTTTCCACACCTTGAGGAGTTAATTGTCTTGAGCTGTCCAAAGTTGAAGTGTGTTCCAACAGAGAGAGGATTGACATCTCTTCAAGCATTTCATGTTTGCTACTGCGACGAATTAAGAAATTTAAATGATGGAATATCTGCCTCCAAAGTTCTAAAAGAATTAAGATTGTGGAGGTGTCATGGTCTGATCTCTGTCCCCAAAGATATAGGGGAACTTCGTTCTCTTGTCCATTTAGAAATCTCTTTTTGTCCGAAATTGACAACAATTCCGGATGAGATCTTTGGTTATCTCAGCAGTTTGAAGGAACTAAGAATTGGTTTTTTCTCAGAAGAGTTAAAGGAATTTCCAGGCCTCAATTCAATCCACCTTCTGCATGCGTCTCTTGAACACCTGTACTTATTTGGATGGAAAAATCTAAAGTCTCTACCACCTCAACTTCAACACCTTGCTGCCCTTAAATTGTTTGTAATATGTTTTTTCGATGGAATAGAAGCTTTGCCAGAGTGGTTGGGAAACTTATCTTCCCTTCAAAGACTACGAATCAGTAATTGCAACAATGTGATGCGGCTACCTTCTATGGAAGCCATGACATGTCTCTCCAAATTACAGGGACTTGAAATTAACAGGTGTTCAGCATTGACAGAAAAATGCACCAAGGAGAGTGGCCCTGAATGGCGAAAGATTGCTCACATTCCTTACATTCAGATTAATTGGCAATGCATTCAGTATTGAGCATGCAGCCTAAATCCTTTGAGAAACCTTCATTTTCAGTAATCGTTTGAGTGAGTAACCTTCTTCATATGTATGTTCCTTCGTATCAGTCCATTGTACTTTATTGGTCAAAAGTTTCCCTCTAAATGATGTGTTTATAACATTATCAACTGTTGCACGACTTAATTATTTCATCTGTTGGTTAGTTTGTACATCACCATGGGACAATGCATCTTGAGCTGATCACACGGGAGGATCAAAGTCAAATGAACTTTGATCAATGGGTTATTGATCTCTGAATAAGTTCTAATCTCAATGATATAATTGATAAATCCTTAATTAAACGAGGATTTTATCTTGCAATCTTTCAAAAATTTTTAGAGTTGCATGGAAACTCCCCCAAGTCCTCCTTTCAAAGTGTTGACCCATAAGTCTAACTGAAGGCGCATGGAAACTCCCTTTGTTTTTTCCCTCGCCCACTAATTCATTTTCTCTGCCTTGTGATTTACTGCTTCAGGACACGCTTCTAAGCTTTAATTTCCATGACTAAGACTTAGGACTTGGCGACTTGCTTTTGGCTCTGGATTATATGCTTGGAAAATGCACCTTAATTTCCCCAGGTTGTCACTATATATGAAAAGGGAACTTTTTAAATTCATTTAAGTCTTATTTGCTTTTCAATCATAAACCTAGGCTCGTTACTTTTTCCAGCCTTGTATTTTAATCTGTTCTTTATTTATTTCTTTAGAAACTTCTTCATCTCCATGACCTTTGATCATAACAGGGGTCTTTGTGGTTGGTCTTTGGAGCCATGCAAAGAGCAAAAGTTGATATTTGATAATTCTTTCAAGCTTGGGTTTATAATCGGGTATATTGTTTTCACACTATCAGCTATGACTGTTTTTATATCCTACTGTGTCCCTCGGACACAAGTGAAAGAGGCGAAGAATGTGGTATTAGCATCCTCACTGCTTAATAGGAAGAATAAGAAGAAAAAAGCTGACCAAGACAATGAATTGCCAACTTTGCAGCTTCTACAGGTATCTCTGTTTTCTCTTTCCTCGTGCAAGTTTGTGTTTGTTTGCAATTACATATAATTGGAATATGGGGATTATGTTTAATTTGGTACTGATATTGGAGATTGGTTTCTTGCTCAGATCCCTAAGTTGGAGAGGATGGTTCCTAGTATGAGTTTTACACAACTCAGTAAAGCTACAGATGACTTCAGGATATCCAATATTATTGGGGTTGGAAAGATGGGAACAATGTACAAGGCAATTCTCCCAAATGGTAGGTTGATAGCTGTCAAGAGGTTAAATGACTCTCAACTGATTACTGAAGAATTTGTATTTGAATTAAAGACATTGGGTAGTTTGAGACATGTTAACTGTGTTCCACTTTTGGGATTCTGCATAGAATCAACTCAAAGGCTTCTGGTTTATAAATACATGTCAAATGGAAACCTTTATAATTGGCTGCATCCTGTGCAAAAGGAGGCAAAGATCCTGGAATGGCCATTGAGGGTCAAAATTGCAATCGGATTAGCAAGAGGTTTGGCATGGCTCCACCACATCTGTAGTTTTCGAGTAGCTCATCTTAAACTCAGCTCAAAGTGTATTTTACTTGATCAAAATTTTGAGCCCAAGTTATCAAATTTTGGGAAGGCAATGCTCATGCATCCAAATGACATTGGTTTGAACAGGCCAAGGGGTTTCTCCATAAATAGGGAGTTCTGGGAGTGGGATTTTATTAAGAAGGATGTTTTTGCCTTCGGGATTGTGCTTCTTGAGCTGATTACTGGGGAAGACCCTAGCAAAGAAACCAAATGGAAAGAAAGATTCAGTGGGAACTGTCAGCTTTCCAATCATAAATCTCTAACTCAGCAAGGACCTGATAATGGTGAGATCTTACATTTACTTGGAGTGGCATCCAACTGTGTTCAGCCATTTCCTGAGCGAAGGCCAACAATGCTTGAAGTGTACAAAACATTAAGGGTCATTGGAGAGAAATATGGCGTAGTGGATGATTCTGAGATTGATAGCCGCTGAAACTTGCTATATGCTAAGACTGCATCAAATGTGATTACACTCATTCTGATGCTGCAAATAAGTCTCTAATATGGATCAAACCAAGCAGGCTAATAAATTTGCAAGCGTATCAACGTTAGAAGAGGAGACTTGTTTAAATTCACTTGTTATGCTGATTTTAGAGATACAATAATAAAAATTAACATTCTTTTTTTGTGTTTCAAGTTTCAACATGAAGTTAGATTCCTACCAAAACCAAAACAAAAGAAAAGGGTAAAGGGTAAAGTATAGGCTAAAGGATAAAAACAAAAAGACCTTTAATTATAATTAAAAAATCATCCACACTCTTTTTTTTTTATTATTGTAATCAATCAATATTTTCATGATCTATTTGTATCTAATCAATCCTATTTGGATGAAAACCTTAATACCATTATTTTTTTATCAATCAAAATAAAATTTCATATAATATCAATAAAATATATTAGAATTTGCTAGTTAATATAATTAATATATGTAAAAATTTTAAAAATTTATTCTTTTTTCTTTCTTTATTTTCTCTCTCAATTTTCTTCACATACCTCTTTGAAAATTCAATTGATTATAATTTGAAGATTGATTGATTAAAATTTATCATTTAATTAAATTTCGTTCATTTAAAGGTTAAAATGAGTGAAAATTAAAAACTTAATTGATTATAATAAAAATTAACTGTTTAAATTATTATTGAATTATAATTCATAAGTATTTTTAATCCTTTAACCAATTATAAATAATATAATACTTCTATTGACTATATGACACTTTCTTTAGTTGTTCTATTGCCAAAAAAAAAAAAAAAAGAGGCAAACAGCAATCAATAAAAGCAATTTTGAGGACCCAGTCAAAACTTTGCAAAATTTTCATCCCTGACATCAGGCCTGCTTTTTGAAATGCATCTTTAGTTTTCACTATAATAAATATAATATACCTATTGACCATAGGACTCTTTCTTTGGTTGTTCTACTGCAAAAAACAAATGAAATTTAAAAAGAAGCAAACAGCAATCGATGAAAGCAATTTTGAGGACCCTACCAAAACTTTAGAAAATTTTCAATTCTAATTTTCATCTCTACTTCTTGAAAAGCATCTTTAGTTTTCAATATAACTTACAAACTTTTTTAATGAATTATGAGCAATTTTCTTGATTCTTTTTCCAATTTTAAACATGAAATTAGAAAAAAAAAAAAAAAAAAGCATACAAAAGTTGTTAGTAAACAAAATAATTTTCATTAAAAAAAAATAGTATATACCTTTGTAATAAAAGTGAAATATTTGAGACTTTGAGGATGTGATCATAAATTTTGGAATTTTTGTAACCTTGTTGATCTCAATTTGACATTCATGTTTAAAAAAATGACTGTTTAGATGTCCCTGATGGAAAATGAAAAATTACTGGATTTTTAATTTTTTTCAAATGTAAACTTTTCAATTGGGAGGTGTTAAGGTTGTGTTTATGATTTGATATCTAAATTAAATTTTTTTATTTATTATTAATTGATTTTAAGTTGAATATTTAATATGATATTAAAATTAAGATTTTATTTTTATTTTTTTAAAATTTATCAAGTAAAAAATTTTTTTAATTTTTATTTATATATGATTAAAAATTTATATAAAATAATAATATTTTATATTCTTTTAATTTATTATTAATTAATTTTAAATTAAATATTTAGTCTTTATAAAACTCTCTTTGTACTTGAATTAATCGTTTTATTCGAATGAGAACTCTCAAGTCTTCCTTTCCACGTACGGTTGACCCACAAGTCTGACTGAAGGCGCATGGAAACCCCCTTTGTTTTTCCGTGGCCCCCTGATTTCCTCTCTCTGCCTTGTGATTTACGGGACACGCTTTCTAAGCTTTAATTCCTACGAATAAGACTTGGGAAACCTGCTTTTAGCTTTGTAGTAAATGCTAACTAATTGGAAACTTTACCTGAATTTTACACGATTTACATTTGGCTTTGGTTAGTTTAAAGGAAATTGAACATTCTTCGTTACTTTATTTTCCAAATTAATTAGTGTAGTTGGTATAGATGATTTACAGAGACTCTGATCAGATTGGCGCTGTCATGCTCACCAGTTGGCTTTAAATTGTTATTGCAACTCTATTGATTAAAATTTATCATTTGATTAGATTTTGTTCATTTAAGGATTAAAATGAGTAAAAATAAAATATTAAAAATTTAATTGATTGTAATAAAAATTAAATGTTTAAATTATTATTGAATTATAGTTTATGAGCATTTTTAATCCTTTAATCAATTATAATATAATATAATACTTCCATTGACCATATGACCCTCTCTTTCGCTGTTCTACTGAAAAAAAAAAAAATTGAAAAGAAGCAAGCAGCAATCAATAAAAGCAATTTTGAGGACCCTACCAAAACTTTATTAGAAAATTTTCAATTCTAATCATCCCTGCTTCTTGAAAAGCGTCATTAGTTTTCAATATAAACTTACACAACATTTTTAATTAATTATGAGAAATTTTCTTGATTCATGAAATTAGAAAAAAAAAAAAAAACATAAAAAAAGTTGTTAGTAAACAAAATAATTTTCATTAAAAATGAAAAATAGTATATACCTTTATAAGAAAAGTGAAATATTTGAGACTTTGAGGATGATATCATAAATTTTGGAATTTTTGTAAATTTGATGGTCAAAGAAAATTTGATGGATTTTTAAACTTTTTCTAATGTAATCTTTTCAAAGTCTGAGGTGTTAAAGTGGTGCTATATATCTCACGTCTTATAATTTTATATTTAAATTGAATTTTTTATTTATTATTAATTAATTTTAAATTAAATGATTAATATAATATTAAAATTAAAATTTTTTTTCGTTATTTTTTCAAAATTTATCAGATAAAAAAAAAATTTTTTTTATCTATACTTAACAAAAATTTGTAAAATGAAAGTTTCTTTCATCTTTTTATACATATGAGCTATTAAATTAAACGTTTATTTTATATTTAAATTGAACTCTTATTTTTTATTAATTAATTTTAAGTTAAATATTTAAAAAGAAAAAAACTCTTTTTGTACTTGAATTAAACGTTTTATTCCAACGAGAACTCCCAAGTCTTCCTTTCAACGTCCGGTGGACCCATAAGTCTGACCGAAGGCGCATGGAAACTCCCTTAGTTTTCGCATGGCCCCTGAATTCCATTATCTGCCTTGTGTTTTACGGGACACGCTTTCTAAGCTTTAATTCCTACGAATAAGACTTGGGAGACTTGCTTTTGGCTTTGTAGTAAATGCTAATTGGAAACTTTACCTGAATCCTACATGATTTACATTTGGCTTTGGTTAGTTTACAGGAAATTGAACATTCTTCTTTACTTTATTTTCCAAATTAATTAATGTAGTTGGTATAGATGATTGACTGAGACTCTGATCAGATTAGCACTGTCATGCTCACCAGTTGGCTTTAAATTGTTATTGCAACTCTATTTCCTCCATTCATTTCACTCTTTTCTACGGTTTCTTTCACCTAAATTTCATCTCTACCTAGTTTTCCCTAGCAAGTGATATTCTTACATGCAAATGGCTCCAAACACAAGACTTGGCTGCAAAGTATTGCTTCATATTTTGTTGTGGTCATTGTTGGGTGCTGTCAGTATCTGCTCAGAGGACGATATCAGGTGCTTGGAATCTATAAAAGATTCCTTGGATGACCCTCATGACCGCTTTAAATCTTCATGGACCTTCACCAGCAAGACCGCGGGTTTCATCTGTGGATTCGTTGGGGTTGAATGCTGGCACTTGGACTCGAATGAAGTGCTAAACATCAGTCTAACCAACATGGGTTTGAAGGGCCAGTTTCCTCTCGGCATTGAGAACTGCTTGAGGTTAACATGGTTAAACCTTTCAAATAACGAGCTTTCAGGACCCATTCCATCAAATATTTCACAAATCCTCCCTTTTGGAGCTGCACTTGATCTCTCCTTCAACAGATTCTCTGGTAACATACCAAAACAAATATCAAATTGCAGTTTTTTAAGTACACTGAGACTTGACAACAATCAACTAACTGGCCTTATTCCGCCAGAACTTGCTCTGCTAAACCGGATCAAGAAATTCAGTGTTGCTAACAATCAATTATATGGTCCGGTCCCTAACTTTTCTTTTAGCGTGAGTTCCTATGCAGGTAACCAGGGACTATGTGGTTTCCCTTTGGAGCCCTGCATTAATAGACCTAATTTCAGAGACTCCTTCAAAAAAGGTTTTGTGATAGGTTATGCCTTTTCTATAGTTTCAGTTATAAGTATTTTTATGTCCTACTGTGTCCCCTGGGTGCACCGGAATGAGAGGAAAAAACAGCTGCGGCCATTTATGTTGAATCCGATATTGAATAGGAGGAGAAACAAGAGAAAACATTCCCATCAGACAAGCCAAATGCTACATCTGGATCTCCTAGATGAAGCCAGCAGAGAGGTACACCTTTTTTTCTCCCTTTATTTTCTTCAAATTCGATTTTTGTAGGAGTCAACATGCTTGTGTGTTCTTCCAATCATGGCATAGCCACAAGACTGATGCAGTTTGTATTTATAACAGACTTCTATGCTGGTGAAACTAGTTTCAAGAATGAGTTATACAGATCTCAAGGAGGCAACAAACGACTTTAGTGCAGATAACATCATTGGATTTGGACAGATGGGGACAACCTACAAGGCAACATTGTCTAATGGTTGCCTTCTGGCAATTAAGAGGTTATTTGACACACAAAAGTTTGATGAGCATTTCATAACCGAATTGAAGACACTGGGAACATTGAGACATGATAACCTGGTGCCACTCCTTGGATTCTGCATAGAATCAAGAGAAAAGCTTCTGGTTTACAGATATATGTCGAATGGCAATCTCTATAATTGGCTGCATCCTTCAGAAGAAGGTGAGGCAAAAATCATTGAGTGGCCATTGAGGGTGAAAATTGCATGTGGGATAGCAAGAGGTCTGGTTTGGCTCCATCAGAACTGCAATTTCCGTGTAATCCATCTTGATATCTCTTCAAAGTGTATCTTACTTGACCAGAATTTCAAACCCAAGATTTCGAATTTCGGAGAGGCAATGCTAATGAAATCAAATAACACTGACTGGAGCAGTAGCTTCTATATGGATAGTGAGTTTTGGGAGATGAGTTTTGTCAAGGAAGACGTTTATCGGTTTGGAATTTTGCTTCTTGAACTGATCACAGGGAAGGATCCAAGTCAATTGACCAATTCCTCAAACACTGGTAAATTGGTGAAGATTGATCTGTCAACAAGTTCTAATTTCTATCATGTCATTGATAAATCTTTGATTGGGCGAGGCTTTGATCTTGACATCTTACAGATTCTTAAAGTTGCATGCAACTGTGTTCATCCCAATCCTGATAGAAGGCCAGCAATGCTTGAAGTCCACAAAACTATAAGTGCTGTTGGCAAGAGATATGGTGGCCTTAAAACCGGCTCTAAGCTAACTAAGGTCTAACGGGATGGTTGATGAATGCAATGAATATTATTCTATCAACATATCATATGATCGTTGGTTAAAGATTGTGTTTCAATTGAGTATTGTCTAATTTTTATAATAGATTATCAATGCAGCATTAGTTTAATAAAAATTTTTGAATTTACACTACTAATTATTTGTAAATTGTTTTATTTTTCAACAAATAAACAAGAACTACCAAAGTTTAAAACAATTAACAGAAAGTTTGCAAGTTAAGGATGAAATTAACAATTAACAATTATTTTTCCATTTTGTTTTAATCCCTTCTTTAGTTCATTGTACGATATGAAAAAATCTGAACCGTATATAATTACATAAACTTCTTGACCTTAAGCGAGTATCATTGATGCATGATATCCTACTTCCGAGGTGTTTTAGGCTAAAATAGGAAGCGAGACCATGCACACTTCTTACTCGATGCAAAGCAGAAAGCCCATTTCTAAAAGGTCAGTGTCTTTGACCCACTTAGTGTCCAGAGAGACGTTATAGGCTCAATAAAAAATTCCTCATTATTTTCAATAGGAAAATATTCAAACAATTTTTCACATTTTTGCTCTTTGTCACATAATCCATATTTTAAACAACTTAGGTGTTCCCAAGATTCATACATATTTTGGATTTTTCGTTTGTTAACATAAAATTTCGTTCGTCACATTTCGTTTATTAAAATTAATTGTTAAAATTGAATTAATTTTAAAAAAATTAATAGGAAACATACAAAATAAGACGAAAAAAAACTTAAGAATCGAATTAATTTATTTTTCTGAATAAAAAATGCATAAAACCTTTCAAATTATACACCCTTAGCTTCCATATATGGTTGAATTTGTAATTCTAGATCTCTATATAGTATTAGTTACAGAGAAATTAGAAAAGAAAGCAAATTAATTATTAAGAAGGCGGATGGGTCGGCAGCCATTGATGAAGCAAGCAACATGAAGGTTGTATTGAAACACTATGTATCAGGCTCTCCTCAAGAAACAGACATGCACTTGACTGCAGGAACCATCAAACTAAAAACATCATCGAACTCCAATGCAGTTATTGTCAAGAATCTTTTTCTCTCCTGTGATCCATACATGATTTTCAAAATGATGAAGCTCGAAAGACAATTCTCTGACCCCTACGTGCCCGGTTCGGTTAGTTCTTCTTCCTCTCTCTCTCTCTCTCTCTTTCCTTTCTCTCTTTCTATTATCATATCATGGATACAATCACATTAAGAATTTTTTTAATTAATCTATTCGTAGAACTTAAAAATTTCACTAACAATCTCTTCTTAGCATGTTTATCAAAGAGTCAATTTTTCCTTGCTTGAGAAGAAATTGAACCAATTAGTATACAAAGTTTTGCAAATTATGGTATGATTAAAAGGTGATATGTGGTAGATTTTGTTTCAATTTTTTTTATTATGCCAGTATAATAATATTTATCATATAGCAATAGTAATGTGATCTATAGATAAAATATTAAACTTTTAATTTTTCAATCCGAGATTGTTTCGTTTAGTAGAAATTAACTAAGTCCATAAATTTCTCTAACTTTTTCCATATCCGTGATGGCCATCTCTTCTAATTGCACCCACAAATATATTTGCTGGTTTCTATATATGGTCATGTTTCTAGTTTACTTAATATGATTTCTTCCCTTTGCTTTTTTTTATTTTTGTTAATGATTTTCAATACAGTGAACAACTTTTTTTAATCTTTCTTTTTATTGAAGAAACTAGAATGAACAAGATTATGTATTATTTGATAAATAAAAGAAAATCAATGCTAAGAAATTAAGTATTGAATTTTGAGTTCTAAAATATTTAAATACTCAAATTTTTACTTTAAAAATTGTTTGGTATCCTATCCAAAATTAAGTAAAATATATATTTTATTTTTTTTTCTAAGTTGCCAATGATTAAAAGAAAACTAATAAAAAGTAAATAGTCAAAATAACAACTATATGGAGTTTTTTTTTTTTTTTTTAATATATGCAAGAGAAAGAAATCCCCCTGTATCTCCCTTCCTCCCTAACCATTTGTATACAAAAATGATCTCTATATCACATTTTCTACACATGATCTCAACTACCATGAACAATATTCAAAACACCATCCCTTCATCAATTGCTATTGTCTCTCTCTTTTAGAGAGAAAAGTAATGGCAAGGCAAGGCATTGAAGAAGCAATCGTCATTAAGGTGACACTAAAAAATTATGTGTTTGGTTTTTCAAAAGAAACAGACATGCAATTGAGCATTGGTTACTTGAAATCAAGGTGACATAGAGCTTTAATCATGGAAATGTTGTCAAAAATCTATATCTGTCATGTGATCCCTACACGACAACACGAATGATGAAGATTCAAGGACATTATGTTCAGTCTTTTAATCCGGTTTCAGTCAGTGATTCATGTTTTCCTTAATCTGGCTGTCTATTTTCTATATGCTCAAAAACTATATTTAACTTTCTTTAATTGTTTTTTATATATATTTGGTGGTGTCATATGGTCAATTACTAGTCATTTCCTTGAGTAACTGACCATTTTTTTGGAAATATGAAATATGATGCAGCCTATAACAGGATATGGAGTGGCTAAAGTTTTGGATTCTGCATGAATCCAGGCTTCGAAAAGGATGATTTGGTTTGGGGAATGACTGGTTGGGAAGAGTATAGTCTGATTACAGATACAAATCACCTGTTTAAAATTCAACACACTGGTCTGCCTCTTTCCTACTATGCTGGAATTCTTGGTAACTAATTGCCTTTTGCAATATATATATATATGAACTATAGATTCCTAACAATGTTAATGGAAGGAAAGTAGGCAAGTTAGGCTCCATTTCATATATGCTTTTGCTTCATAGATGACACATTCTCTATATATTGTGATCGGAGAAGCAGAATAATAGATGAAATTAATACTAAAACTTTCCTTACCTGACTGTTGTTTGTATATGTAACATACTTGACAGGTATGCCTGGTATAACAGCATATATTGGTTTCTATGAGCTTTGTTCTCTTAAGAAAGGAGAATATGTGTTTGTTTCAGCAGCATCTGGTGCAGTTGGCCAACTCGTGGGGCAGTTTGCAAAGCTGCAAGGTTGCTATGTCGTTGGCAGCGCCGGAAGCAGTGAGAAGGTAGCCAACGTATTTCTTAAACATGATTTCCCCATCCAATAATGAGTTTTATCCACCTGAATCACTTCTCTGATTTAACACTACTGCTCATTTTCAATGCTTCAATTTAAGTTTGATCTATTGAAGAATAAATTTGGATTTGATGAGGCTTTCAACTATAAAGAAGAGCCAGATTTTAATGCAACATTGAAGAGGTCAGTACGTAGGAATATTACTTACAACAATCTGATATTGAAATCTAATGCCAACCCATTAATTGTCAATGCAGGTTGTTCACAGAAGGCATCGACATTTACTTCGATAACGTTGGAGGAAAGATGCTTGATGCAGTTCTAATCAACCTGAGATCCCATGCTCGCATTGCTATGTGTGGGATGATCTCTCAATACAACCTTGAACAGCCTGAAGGGGTTCACAATTTGACATCGATCGTGATGAAACAAGTTCGAATGCAAGGATACCTGGTCTTCGATTACTATCATCTGTACCCGGACTACCTTGAAATGATATTGCCAATGATTAGACAAGGGAAAGTTGTGTATGTAGAAGACATAGCTGATGACCTGGAGAATGCTCCAGCTGCCCTTGTTGGACTCTTCAGTGGCCGCAAATTGGAAAACAGGTGGTTGCGTTTAATTGCTTGTGATCCAAATCCAAGGCTTTACTTTGTTTAAATCAATGCTTTTAGATATTCAACAAAGGAGTTGGATATATACATCCCTTCTCTTCCCTTCTTTTTTTTATTTTTATTTTTCTTTTTTACCAAACACATTGCTTGAATATGTAAAAACTATTGTGACACCCTTTGGATTTTGATTAAAATTTAATAGAATTATTTGTTATTATTAAGAATAACTATAATTTAATGTCTTTATTCTAACAGACCAAAAACCAATAATTTTAATTAAGAACCAAATTAATAAATGGATAAATCTTAATTCATAATAATTTATTAAATGGATAGATGCTTTAAATAATTCAATTAGGCAATCTGATTTTTTTTTCATAAAAGTTTAACAAAGTTATATATTAAAACTTTAGCTAACCTAAAAACTTAATTATAATTAAATCTAAACTCCAAACCATCATAAACGTTAAAACACACACAAAAACCTTTTTTTTTTCTGCCTTCTAAACATAAAAACCAATAAACCCTTGTAAAATTAAAATTTACATGATAAAATCCTTAGATTTGGTATTAAAATTACTAAAATTAATAACAAAAAAAAAATAATTTATATGAAGCACGAACATATCTAAACCCTTTACATGTCTGTATCTTATCCATATCTAATATTTTGACACTTTTGATGCATCAAAATATGTATCGAAAATGACTAAATACGGTAAAAAAAATATTTCGTGCAAATCACGACGCCTTATTTTTTTATTATTTTATCTACCAATAATTTTTCTACACAATAATAATTCTCTTTTAAAAATAACTCAATACCTATCATATATTTTTAAATAATTATTATAATATATAAAAAAAATTTTATTATGATGTTATGTCGTATACGTCTTCTAATTTTTAAAAATGGTTATATTCTTGTGTCATGTCATATCTGTCTGTTCTTGATAAGATAATATCAAAATACTTTTGTTTTTAATCAAATGTGAAATAAAAATTAAAAAAAAAATTGTTACATGCATAATATTAAAATCTTTTAAAAATATATACGTAAGAAATCACTTAAATTTAATATTAAAGTACTAAAACCTGTATGAGTGGGCAAGATACAATTTAATGACCCTTTCTAATTTTCCATAATTGATGCCTATCAAATCTTTACTTTAACATCCCATTCTTCTTTTCCACCCTTTCACATACCAAAATATCTGCTTTCACTTTACTTTTTCAACAATTAATTTTCTTAACATCACCTCATCCTGTCAGGCTGTCACTGCCACCTTCACTCATTTCTTCTTCTGTTTAGAGTTCTTCGGTCTTGGGTATCTTGGCTTCTTCATTGTGAAGTCTTCAGTTTTGTTTCAGCTGAGAATAATGGCTGGTGATGACGTGGTAAGGAACAAACAGGTGATATTGAAGAACTATGTGACTGGGGGTTTGCCCAAGGAATCAGACATGGAAGTAAGAGAAAGTAGCATTCTACTGAAGTTGCCAGAGGGTACTCGAGATGCAATTTTGCTCAAGAATCTCTACTTGTCTTGTGATCCTTACATGAGAAATCGCATGAAGAAGGCTGAAACTTCTTCATATGTGGATTCGTTCCAGACTGGCTCAGTGAGTTACATAACCAGTACAGAACTCCTATTTCCATTTCTTTCCATTTACTGCTCTATTTTTCAATAATTTTTTCCTTTTTTTTTCTTTAAGTAACTGATCTTTGCATGCAGATTTTGATGACTTCTCTGGTAATTCTTGGTCGATTTGAAGTTTGATGGCTATTAAGACTGAGTTAATATATAGAAATATGGATCAGAGACTCATGAAAGTGTATCTATATTATGAATCATCACAGGAAAATTAGGATTATTGTAGTTTGTGAATTTGGGTTCTTCTTATTATGTTCAGTGATAGTGAAGAATAAATCGTAGTTCAAATCATTGATGATTGTTTAGATAGGTTAATTATAGCTGTCTATGACTAAAGCTACAACAAAACTACAGTGGATAACTGAACTCTCTCATATGATTTAAGATTCAAATGGAGCATTAATTATTTAGGACAGTGCCAAGAGACAAATGTATCTAATGTGCTGCAATAGAAACTGAGTTCAGCATTCTATTTCAAAATAGGGGAATAAGAAAAGAACATGGTATGTCGTTTTCTGATTCTGCTCATATTTAGCTGACCTTTAAGTGTTGACATTGCACAGCCTATAATTGGTTATGGAGTGGCCAAAGTTCTGGATTCTACTCATCCAGATTTCAAAAACGGCGATTTGGTTTGGGGGATAACTGGTTGGGAAGAGTATAGTCTCATAATAGCACCAGATCGTTTGTTCAAAATTCAACACACAGATGTTCCTCTTAGCTACTACACTGGACTTCTTGGTAAGTGTATTTCATATTTATCAAGATGAGAATCTTTTTAGTATTGAGGAAACAAAATTTTTCTCTGTTTTGTGATAATGTATTGGCTAATTATTTGCACAAGCTAAATGATTATGCTAGTTCAATATATTTGGCTACAAGCGAAAATGGGTTTTCTCATTTCGTTGTTGTAACATTTTCCAGCATCGTAGCTGAAGGATATCGATGGGATCAGTCTCAAAAATCTTTGTTAATAACATGAAAAGAACCCCTTTTTTATGATGTAATAGATTTGTAAATGACTTATTGAATCATTATGTTAGGCTTTCGTGTTCCTCCAACTCCTTCCCCCAGCTTTTATTTGTTTATCTTGAAGTTATCTAGTATTGCAGAATACTTTTGGAAGCAATTTTGCTATAAAAGAGTTGACATGGAATTTGGCTAGAATGACCTTTGAGCTGCAACTTTTTGCTTTGGAAACTGCAATTCTTGATGCATTTTCAGAAAGCCTCCATGGCAGTTAAAGCTACTTCTAGCAGACTTCAAATCTAATCAAAATGGAGTGCCACTTTGTAGGGCACTTATCAGATATGTAGTCACTGCCTTAGGCTTGGAGATTTAAGTACTTAGTAGACTTAAGCAAGTAATCAATCTGAAACCAATGGACAGATATAACTCATATTCTAAGCAAATTGTGGTAACTGTTCCTTGTCACAAGAAAATGTTACTTATGGTGTTGCCATACTGAGACAAGGCTAGCAATGTTAAGAAACACTTTTTGTCAAAGAACATAAACCAGAGCAACTTTACAATATCGAGTCAGGTAGTTTCCTGCCACTTATAATCCTGTTTATGTCCTTTGTTTGGCAATTCAAATTTAGTTGTTAGATTACACTTGTGTACAAGTGCCAGCAAAACACATATAGTTGATAACGCATGTAAATCAAGAAGGATATCTATTCTGTTTACCATTTAACTTTGGCTCATTATTGTTTCTCTCCATCTATTAATTCTGCCATATTGAGAGTTAACTACATATTATAAGTTGCATGCGGAAGCCTTTATAATCATCCTCTGTTTCCTCAGGTGGCCTTACGCTTATTTAATTGTTCTTCAATTTGTCATCATAGGTATGGCTGGTATGACTGCTTATGCTGGTTTTTATGAGGTTTGCTCCCCGAAAAAAGGAGAATACGTCTATATATCAGCAGCATCTGGAGCAGTTGGTCAGCTCGTTGGGCAGTTTGCAAAACTGTTAGGCTGCTATGTTGTTGGAAGTGCTGGCAGCAAAGAGAAAGTGAGTTTTGAGATGATGTGCCATCTTTATCACAGTTTTGTGTATCCGCTAGCTTCATTATCTGATTCTGTCCAGCAGTATGCATTACTCATGAGACTTTCTTGATTCTTCTATTCAATTATTTTATTCTCCAACGTCCATGGAAAAGGTGAAAACCGGCACAAGTAAATAAGCTTTTGAACTGAAAATTTTTGGCCAAAAAGTTTCCATTGCCGCATGTTAATTGTTACAGCCACTATCCCTTGACTTCATTAACCAGTTTCTTGTTTTCAGTTTTGCAGTTCTCCGATTTTCCCCTTTTATCTAATTATCTTTGTAATTTCTACAATCAAAGGTTGAATTGCTGAAGAATAAGTTTGGGTTTGATGCGGCTTTCAACTATAAGGAAGAGCCAGACTTAGATGCTGCTTTGAAAAGGTCAGTAGCATAAAGATATTTTAGTAGAATTTTGAATCATTTGGCTGACCTACCACTCGGTAATGCTCTACAAGGATTATATCAGTAATTATTAAACACAGACAGGCCTGGTCTTCCAATCTGCTGACCGGTGACCTGGCCATTGGACCGGTCCAGTTTTCATGGTATAACGACCTTAAAGCTTCAATCAGCTGAAAGTTCACGATACATATTACCAACCTTAGTAACAATAGTCCACTTAATAATCTGTTCAGTCTGCTTTTTATTTAAGGAGTCAAGATGCTATTTTATATTCCGATGTCATGTATAGTCCCAATGCTGTATTACTTTTTCAGGTACTTTCCAGATGGCATTGATATTTACTTTGAAAATGTGGGGGGAAAGATGCTGGATGCAGTGCTGCTCAACATGAGGATCCATGGTCGTATTGCTGCCTGTGGAATGATCTCTCAGTACAACAATGAGCAGCCTGAAGCAGTGCACAACTTGATGCATATCGTGGCGAAACGGGTTCGCATGGAAGGATTTCTGGTAGGTGATTTCTATCACCTCTATCCCAAGTTCCTAGAAATGGTTATACCTTGCATCAAAGAAGGGAAGATAACATATGTTGAAGACATAGCAGAAGGTCTTGAGAGTGCTCCAGCAGCACTTATTGGCCTCTTCACTGGTCGCAATGTTGGGAAACAGTTAGTTGTACTCTCCCATGATTGATATAAGCTGTACTACAACTTTTTTAGTGAGGTTGCTTGATTGATGTATGTGCTTTCTTAAGAACAGATCCAATTTTTGGTTGAATAAGAAACATCCCAAACTTATATAAATCATCATTGAAGCATCCTCAACACAATCATAGTATTCATCATTACCATGATTGTCATACATAACATAGTATGATTAACCAAAATCAATGCCTTAAATACACAATTGGTTCTACAAAATATTTCACCTCTTCTTGGGCATTCAAACATAAAATTTTTTGCCACTAAGCAAAAATTTATACAAAGAATTTTTTGGCATTCACAGGAAACCTCGAAAATTCTTTGAAATTATACAGGAAAAGAATATCCACGTAGATATTTCGAGTCCACACCCGACTCTCGCACCAATGCGACACGGCCAGTCCGTGCAACCTAAAATGAAAAAGAAAAAAAAAAAGAGAAGGAATGATATGTAATGTATCATAAAGTTTTTATAATGCTCGGAAGCCAAATGTCAATGATATATCATATTAAGCAAAAGAAACATTATGTTATAGCTGCTAAGAAGAGTTATGAAACGGAACGCGAACCTCACAAATGCCATAGGGCTCCAACAATCTCTGCAGTGCAACCATTTTGTCTAGATCTCCTGTAAGCTGCAACAAGCATTGAAATCATGTTTATGAGTCTCTGCAGTTAGAAAGAAATGCTAATAGATGCAAAGAAAAGTGAAAGCCTGAAAAACAAACGTTAGAATTCGGAGTTCACATGAAAAATGTGCAATGGATTCAAGAACCATGATCTATGAAACTTGCATTCAGCAATTATGCCTCCCCCACCAACAAAGAAAAGCAAGAAAACAAAAGGAGAGAGTGGAAATAGGCAAGCAAATTTTTTGGAACCACCATTCTGAATTTTGCGTTCTATCAAATGCAAGCTGTATTGCTCATAATAATGTTTGCAAAGAGACTAGTAATCGTGCATCCATAAATCACCTCCTACAAGACCAAAGAAGAGAAATATAGATCATGGGATAAATTTGATTCACCTTATCTAAGACATGGCTTCTTCCACACCAACACTTAAAGCTGATTCACCTTTGAACAATATTGCTTCAAAGTGGTTTCTCTCTTGGCAATCCAAAAAAGCTACTCAAACATGCTTCAGCATATGGCATGACACCACAATTAAATATTTTTTCCATAGCAAGATAAAATGCGAATTTGTTTATCTCATGCTAATGGCATTAAACTTTCTTTCTTTTGATTATTTTTTTGAGATGAATCAGTATCTCAGGATTTCAGCCCAACTAGCCAAGGTCACATGAAGTGAAGGATCGGCTTGCTGTCTGAAATGAAGAGTTTTCCTTGCTGACTCAAGCAGGAATTTATTTGCTTTTACTGAAAACAGTGACACTTGGTGATATTCCTATCATAGAATGATGACTTAAAAGTCGAGTAAGCAACCCAAAGGACTAATGGAAATCCTAAATTCTGGAGGTGTAAGTAAAATTAATAATTAAAAGAAACACGTCATTATTTGATAATTAGCTCGTTATCTTGTATGACAGCAACAACTTTTGCTTAATGACACAATGTAAAGGGTATAAATTAGGTAAAGTTGCTTAAATCTTTTTCCTCAAGTTTGCCAAAATAAACACTGTATTTAGAATTGTTAAATCAACAAAACAAAACAGGTATAAGGCCATGGCTAAGTTAGCAATTTAAGCACGACTTATTTTCATTTGGAACTTGAGGAGAACATAAGGAACCTTATCTAAGTACCGTCCTAATAAAAGAACACAAGGGATCAAGTCAAACTCCACTTAAAAAGAAAAAACACAGCAATAACAACACAATAAAAACACCTCTGTTGCAATACAATTCAACCATTTCCTCTGATATTACATGCCACTTGCCATTGTGTTTGCACTGCACTGGTAAAAGCTAGCTACTGCTATGTATTTGATGCCAATAAAAAATGGATAAGAAATATTACAATGTGCAAACACAAATCTCAAAAGATATTTACCTCAAGAGTGACTGTGTGGCCAGAAACATCAACAGCCCTGGCCCTAAAAATGTTGGCAATGTCGAGGACATCTCGTCGAGCAGCAGCATTCACAGCAATCTTTATCAACATTAATTCTCGTTCAGCAAATGGCAAGTGGGTAAGATCCCGTACCTAAGAAGTGAATGACTGTCAGCCATTGGTTCACTCAAGATAACAAACAGGCAAAGAGAGATTTCCTCTTACACCTCATGGATAATGTTGCCTCTATCAAATTTCTACATCAAAAGATCAAAAATCTAGACTACCGAATCATGTCATATGCAGCTCAAGGAAATGATACAAAACCTACATGAATTTACCTTTCCTATCATAAATAATTGTACTATATCACAAGGAAAAAAGAAAAAAAAAAAAAAACTTAAAAAGGGGCAATTCCAAGGGCATTACTCTAATGAACTTTGCAAGTTGGTTGAAGTTACTCAGTATTAAACACTAAAAGTATATCTCTTGCACAAAAACTATATATGGCACTGAGTTCATGCATCTAGAGTACAAATATTTTGAAGAATGACAAGAAGCAAGTCACTTTACAATTTTTTATATTTAAGTATGACCAGAAAAGCAAGGCAGTCCATTTACAACCAGATGACCATGCAGGAACAGATTCAATATTACAAGTTAGATAATGAAACTTACTCAAAGTAAATGTTACAGAAAGAGTAAAATGTCTCATGCGAAGAAATCATCTGGAATGGGAGCAACTTCTAAATGCATGTCTCATCTATAATACGAAAGTATTGAAGTATGACTGCAAGGAAGTCACTCCATTTAAAAATGTTCATAGTAAAGTATATTGCAGTCATAGAATATAATGCCCAAGTGATGAGGAAGTTTCCAAAAACAGCTCATCAACTAAAGGGAGTGCAAGATTTTCTAAAGGTTTCTAATCATTTGCACCTAACAGCCAACCACAAATTTCATGAAACCATCATGTCTACCCCTGTGGTGTCCATTTATGATCCTTGTAAGCAGTTTATCTCTGTGGATGCACAATGCAAATTTTCTGAAGGAACAAAAATTGGAACATACCAACTTCGACATTTCTTGTTCTCAGGCTATTTATGCATTACCCAACAAACAATTTGCCAAAATCCATACAATTTACAAGCAATTCCACTAGCAGATTATACAAAATGCACCCTTTCAATTAATCTCACCTCATGCAGATCTACTAGCTTATAGAGTTGCTGCACTAACTTGCTAATTGATTCATCTGTACCCGGAACAACAGTTGTAATGCGGGAGAGACCCTCAACTTCTGCATGTCCAACTGCCAAACTCTTGAAGAGAGTAAAGAAGATTCAGCAGATAAGAAACCCTACAAAGAGAGCAGGAGAGCAAACAAATAATGGCAGTAAGCTCACCTGAATATTATAGCCTCTTCGAGCAAAAACCCCTGTAACAATGTTTAGAACTCCGGGAGCATCATTTACCAGCATGGATAAAGTGTGAGATTGAAGTCCACTCGTCTGAAAAATATTAAAACAATTATTAATGTTTTTTATGCTAAAATACACTAGCCTACAACAAAGATATATTTCAAATAAGGACAAAATGGTGACTCGTGAAGAAAAGCTTGCTCAGCACCAAATGAGCAGGAAATTGAGAACTTGTAGAAACTAACCAAAACTCAAAATTAATATTGGCTTATATCTGGTTATCTTTTTTTAATAAATTCAAAAAGCCTTAAAACTTTTAGAGATTCTTCTATTGAATAACAGCTTCAGGATTGTCCATTCAGACATTGAGGAAGACAGTTGACTCTCCTATTGGAATAAAATAACTTAACTAACCTCTGAGTAAAAATACTAACAGTGACTTTTGTTTCTTTAAAGTTAAGGTTCCTTGCAAACACAAATGTATATCGAAATTAAGCAGCAGCGAGACTACATATATTATTATTTAAAAATCACAATAAGCATTATCATCTTCATTCACTCAGAAGATATAAGAAAGTTCCAGGAGATGACTCATCTTAAGCATGAAGGATGAGGTAGCATACAAAATTCATACTTAGCAAGCCATGAACCATATTTTCTAAATGGCTTCTATTGAGTTTCAAGAATAATTTACCAAAATATAACATGATTATAAGTTTAGAGAAAGTTCAAAAGCCATGACAAGAAGAAGTTGGTGATTTACAAGGACAGGACTTCCATACTTTCACGCTAGGTCACTTCCTACTACATTAGCCCCTTTTTCCACAATAGTGCCCCTTGGAACATAGATCCAAGCATGTTCTAGAACAAGGAATAACATTTCAAAGCCAAACCAACGTCAAAGTGCACCATTCTCACAAGTCATCAAGCTGGTGGTTTCCTCATGTATGCTTAACAGCCACCATAATTTAAGGAGCAAGAGTGTGGAAAAGTGTGTGTCATAAAGAGAGAGAAAAGTGACACAGAACCAGCAATAAGCATTCTTACATCGTCATCAATAAGAACACCCCAATGAGCATCAAGAACTTGATTGATCATAAAACCATCAGACGACTCCACTGGATAAACATCCCCCTGCATGAATAGACAAAAACACATAAACTATGGATTTTAGAGAAGAAAAAATATGCAATTGAAGTGATATATAAGGATAGAAAAGCACAAGGACTGTGAAAGATGGAAGCATCAATTAACATGTGAAGAAGATGTTAAAAAAAAAAGGAAGAAACAGCGTTAAGTCAACAGTGCAAATTGATGAGGCAAACAAGGTATGAGAAGTATACAAACATGCACAACTACAGAGTCTGCTGCAGAAGACAAACAGCATTTACTTAATATAAATTTGAGTAGCTATCAGTATCTAAAACCACTTAACAAGAAAATAGTTCAACATATTAAAAATGAACAACAATCATAATAAACCAAAAACATAACAACACAATGTATCAAAATGTCAACATACAAATGTCAGACCAAGAATATAAAGTGCCAATAGGTGATGATACATCCCTAAAAGTCCAAGTACCAAAATGAATTCAGTAACAAGAGTGTGTTATAAATGCACATATCTGTGTAACATCCCTTCTGAACTGGCAAGCAGGTAAGCTAATTAAATTCAATACCATTGACCACAATTTATTTCCATATGTAAATTTTTTTCAACCAACATTTTCTTAAGCACTTTGCAGGTTTAAAAATAAAATTTAATAACATATCAAAATTTTTCACAGATAGTATTGTATAAAGGGCATCATGTATGAGCCTCACAAGAAAATAAGCATGTAACAATACATACCATATACACCATTTTAGCATTTTTTTTTTTGGGGTGCAATTGAGGCCAAGGCCTAGGGCGAATCGGGGAAAGGGAAAGTTGCAAGTACTGGAGATCAAACCCAAGCCTTGCTGGAATCCACCTCCTAGAAGAGGTGGGTGAATCATTTGGGCTAAGCCTCAAGTTCATCAGTTTAGCATGTCTTGTTAACCATATCTGAATGACCCAGCCCATATGTTTCTATTAAAGAAAAGACAATCCCAGAAGCAAAAGTAAACAAGTTACTTATGAGTGTTGTGTTGTGTACATGCACAACATGCACGTATGTGTGCATGAAAAGCAATGTAACTGCTTTAAAATTTCTTTATACTCCATTTTTTGGTGCATTAACTCTTTTGGTTATTCGCCATCCCTATTTTGAAAGACAGAAACTGGGATGTACATTAGCTGCAAGTACTATGGTCTATTTCTAAGACTTATCATATAGAACAAAGGCATCAATCATTAATTTATTTTAATCCATGATTAAAAAACAAATCGAGGATCTCTAATGTAAAACAAATCGAGGATCTCTAATGTAAATAACTAACTAAATGCTTATAATCGCATTAACAATAAATAAAGATGTCTATTTCTACTATAATCCTATATGGTGCGATCTACAAGCCTCAATTTGATTTTATACCTGTCTTTAGAAACAGTCACAAAAGCATGATAGATAATCACTATTAACCTAACTATAGATACAGCATCTTCCATGGTACAAAGAAATAAAAAATAAATAAAAATAAAATCTTTGCAAGGAAAATTCTAACTGAAAACTGAGAGGAATGCTTACCCCTCCAGAAACATCAGCCTCACTAACTACTGATCTATCTCTGGCCCCTGCAAGAGCATTAACAGGTACTGTTTCTTCAAGATCTGGGTATGAAGCTGCTGAAAATCGCCAGAATGGAGCGGATGCACCCATTTTTTCCCTTCTGAGGGCAATCTATAGGAGATAGAGGATAAACATATAATAGCCTTGAACTAATAAATGAAGTTGAATGGTGGAAGATTAGTAAAGTACCAATTAGAAAATTTTCATCAACCAATTTATAGGAAAGATCAGTACCTTTCCTGTTCTAGCAATTTCTTTGATCCCAAACTTGCTTAAATTTCTTTGCACAGCAGCCATCTTCCCTGGATCTCCTGTTACCTGGGTTTAACCCATGATAATGATTTAACATTGCAAGAATATAATCGAATACCTCCACACCCCTCCCCCCCCAAAAAAAAAAAAAAATGCTCCATCAGATAGTCTTGTAAGTAGCTCTGAGTAATACTCACTTCAAATGTCAACAAGTTGAAGCATGAGAAGCGCTTCATAAATTTTCTGGTTTTCACTATTTAGACTTGTTAGATAATTAGCACTTTAACTCATTCACCATCTTGGAGATTGTGATATTCTTAAACCCTTAAAACTCTTTGTTTACACCACAGTGATATCCTTTGTTTCTGTTTTCATCTCCATATTCCCATCTAAAGATTCGAGACGTAATACTGGACATGATGAATAACAAAAAAGAAAGCTGCTTGATTCATTTTTATAAATGGTATTAGGATTTGATCTATTCCACTGTCAAAAACCGAAATGGAAAGAGAGGGATACAAAATCTCAGTATGAATAACTCACACAATGGATAGCAATCTGATGCTTTAGTCTGCTGAGCCAAAAGTTAAATACTCTGTCCTCAAAAGTCTTTCTCTACCCTTATTCTTAAATATCTTTCATTAACAATCAAAATCAGAAAAAAAAAAAAATTGAAAGAAATGTCTCAAGTGTATTAATCTTGCTTTGAACTATAACACAACAATTTTAAACTTTTTCCAAAATTGATAATTACTTAAAAAGTTTTGAAATAAGCATCTGCACAAACATAATGGAATGAACTTAGACCAACTTCAGAACAAAGAGTTTTATTCCATAGAAACAATTATTTATTACATAAATAATTTTCTAAGTTCCCTAAAAGATAAGTTAGCACTCCAAATTGAAATAGGAAAGGAGGGTTTCTTTAACCGGTTTTCAATAACACTAGCCATACTTTAATTAGTCACTCTTAGTTCCTACACTGTGGCTACTAAAAATTCTTCATTCTCAGTCAACATGCACTCTCACAGAAACTCGTCTGTAGGCAAGCACCCAAAATTCTGAGCAACACAAGATAATCTAGTCATACTCACAATCTTATTATTTCTCCCATACATTATAATAACACAAGCACACTTTTCAAATTCAACTTATGCTAACATTATGTGTATTGGGGGTTGGAGAAACAAGGAAAAGAAGGGCCAAGTACAAAGTCATTTCTTCCATTCATTACCTCAATAGTTAGTGAGTGTTCTGAGATATCCACAATCTTTGCCCTGAAGATGTCCACTAACCACATGATCTGATAAACAGGAAAAAGTTGGCCAATCAAAGGGAAAAAATTACAAGAAGGAATTCTTTACATTCTAAGAATCATTGCAGGATTTACCTCAGCTCTGAACTTTGGATCAGCATTCACTTTTATTAGCATTAGCTCGCGTTCAACCTGGGGCTCATTTGAGAGATCTTCAACCTTCCATCAGATTAAAATAAGTAATTTGAGAAATTGACATATAACACAATCAATTTTCGCTAAGATGGTAAAGAAAAGGAGAAAACAAGGGAGAGAAAAGTAATCACTTAATACCTCATTGGAAATAGAAAGGTATAGTCATCTAAGGAATGATGGCAAATAATGAGAATACGAGGTACTATTTAAGACTGCCATCTACCCTTTTAAGATATTCTAATGAACAATCTTAAGATATAAAACTTCAACACTCCATTTGATAGGAAGGAAAAAGTTATAATCTAATGGTTGAGCTACATAACAACATGTCCTAGACTAATAGTTTGTAGCTCAACCATTAGATTCGAACTTTTTGAATTTTCAAAAGGAACAAACTTTAGCCTCTGGGGAAGATAACATAATGCTTAACAAAGCCAAACAATCATATAAATATGAAGAGTTCAGGGAAATATTGTACCTTCCAAACATTGACAAGCTTTTGCAACTGCTCTACAACTTGTTGCAGCACTCTATCAGTACCAGAGACAACTATGGTGAAGAGTGCCTTATCTTTGTTCAGACCAACTGCAAGGGACTCAATGTTATACCCTCTCCTTGCAAAAACTCCAGCAATTCTGTTAATCATTCCACTTTCGTCGCCAACAAACACCGAAATTGTGTGCCGCCTCACCCTTGATTTATCACAGAAGGCAATAGGTGAGGAAACCATGGCCAGCAACTATAGTAAGCAAATGAAATCGAAATAAAAAACCCAATATGGAAAAGAGTATATTAGATAACATACTTTGATCGAGTAGGAGTAGTAGAAGGAACAGCGCCGTTGGCAGAGAAAGTTTTGTTGGAGATCTTTTCATTGACACTCCTTGGAGAAAGCGCCAGTTTCTTTGGGACATGGCTATTGGGTCTTCCTATCTTTTCTGGGAAAAAAATGGGTTTCCAAGCAGTGCCTGAGTCAGGCTTTGCGCACTGGATTGGTAGGTGAGAAGTTGAGAGAGCCGCCATGAAAGAACAGAGGATATACGAAAGGAGACCGACTGTTGTGAGAGCAAGATTCTTCTGAAATTGCCGAAATAGAAATCCTAGGATTTTGTTAACCATACGACAGCATTTTATCTTCCTTTCTTTAGAAATTAACAGACCGTTATGAGGGGCAAAAAAGGAAATTCAAAATTAACATATCAATTTAAGAAACAATTGGTTCTTATTTCTTAAAATATTTATAAAAAACAATGGATAATTTAATTTTTTTCGTAATTTTTTATAACAAATCTATGATAGATTGACAACTAACACCTCAAACAATACATAAATTTACAGTCATAATAATAAAAAAAAACCATTATTCTTTTTTTTATATAATTGTGAAATATTTTTTATTTTAAATGTACAAATTGGATTACACCTTATACAAGTTTTTAAAGATCGGATTAAGCCCAACTCATAGAAAATCTTTAGTTGTATCACACGCACACAATATCTTCCGTAAAGATTAGTATATATTTTGTATTTTATAATAGATTTATATTTAATACATTATTAATATATTAAATATGTATATTATCAAAAAATTATATTTTAATACCTTATTAATACATAAATTAAATTTTGAAGTCTTTAACAATAGACATTTATTTTTTTTATAAATTTATAGTACTACTATTTGCAACATAACTTTTTATTACTACACTTTAAATTTTTAAATTTTAATAAAATTACTTGAATATTTATTAGTTAATTACCTTTTTTTTTGTCTCTCAAATCCTATTTTGAAAATTTATTTTCAAAAACTTTAGATTTCCAAAGTTTTTAAAAGATTTTGGACATTTATTTTTTAAAATCTTTAAAATTTTTCAAAAATTTCGGATTACACCTAAATATTTTAAACATGAAATATTATAAAACTAAATATAAAATCAAATAAAAATTAAGAAAAAACAAACAATTTACTTTTAATTTTATTGTTTTTAACTTCAAATTGGTGACATTTTCTTTAAATTTGGTTTGATTGATGTTTAAAATTTTTTTATTTTTTTGTTGGGAAAATAGAAGAGATGGGATGTTTGGATTTTAGTAAATTTGTGTTTTTGTTTTTGAGTATGCTGAATAAAAAATTGGTTATTAATAATAGTGGGATGTGAAAATAAAAGGGTGCAAATAGCACCACTCTAAATTTAAATATTTAAAATTTATATAAATTTATTGTTAAGTACTTTATTTTTTTAAATTTATTCACTAAGAAGATGTCATGACTTATAGATTCAATATTAAGATGTAAATGATATATTTATGCTCTCAAACTATTCATGCTTAGTTCAAATAAAGCTCGTATTCGATTCAATTATTACAAACTAAACTTGAGCTTAAATATCTCAATTTATTGAGTAAGCTGAGTTCAAGTGTTTTGATATTCAACTTAAGTAGTTTATGAGTATAATCGAATTTTTATATTTGAGTATATATTTTTATTATTTTAATTAAAAACTAAAATTTTACTTTTATATATTAATTCAAGTTCAAATTCAAACACAAGTAATAAAGTTTTAAGTTAAACATAAGATCAATTTTATTTTTTATTCAATAAACAAACATACTTGAGCTAGATCTCAATTTTATCTTAAATTAAGCTCGAATTTAAAAATTAAAATTCAATTAAACTTAAATTGAATTTTGAATAAAATCTTTTATATTAAATTTTAATTTTAATTTTTCACTGTATTAATTTGACTCAACTAGATTACATTCTTATTCAATACACTGACAGTGTATGCAAATAAACCCAAGTAATATTTTCATCCAACACATTAAAAATCATGAATAAAATTATCAACTATTGTAATTGATGCAAACTTATTACTACAAAAAATAAACTATAAATGATGAACTAATTAACCTTAAAGAGTGTTGGCACTCATTAGCAAAACCCTAAAACAACAAAATAAAAGTATTTATAAATTTTAATTAACATTTATGTTTTGATATTATATGCTTATATTTATTTTATTAAATTTATATAAAAAAATTAAATATTTATCATTAAGTGCTATACCATCCTATACATCTTTGGAACTCAGCACACGAGGAGGAGCTTGCTTTCATTCAAACTATGCTTCAAAAATTTGCCAATCAAAACCCAGAGCTATAAATGGTTAGACCATTTACATGTGGTTGCTTTTTCTCGAACCTTAACAAACTTAATTTCTTTAACTACAATGAAATTAAAAAATATATATTTTAAGCTATGTTTGGTTTAAGAAAATTTTGAGAAAATAAAAAATGAAATCCTCGGATTTTAGCAATAAATATTCGGTGAAAAAAATAAAAATTAAATATTTTATTGGACATTTATATTTTCACAAAATTAAGTAGTTTTTGTACTTCAGCTTAATTCGATCATATTTGTTATAATGAATCATATGCAATTCAAACATTAAAGCAATGAGTATTAATTTGACTTAATATTAGTTGCAAATTCAACTAAACTCTATGGTCCAAATTTGAATAATTTAAATGTTAAATTTAAAAATTTTAAATTTAATTTATATAAGTATTATTTGTTAAATAACAATATAAAATATTTTATAAAAATTTTTACGTGAATGTCATATAATAAAAAATAATTGATTGGTCTCAAATATTTTGTATAATTTTAATTTATATTAAAAAACGATGTTAATAGTACGTATAATAAATATATAATTTAAAAATATTTATAAAATATTGTATATATAAGTTGATATGTTTAACAAAATTAAAATTTGAATTAATATAATATATATGATTTGAAAATTTAATATATATATAAATTATATATTATTTAAAAATTCAAGATACAAATTATACATATTATTTCTTTAGATACCAATTATATATTTTTTCAAAGTTCAAAATTTAAAATTTGCGTATCTTATTATATATTTTTAAAATTTAAATATTATATTAAATATTTTATTATAATTTAAGAGTTGATATTAACCCAATTTTCATAGCCTAACCTTATCCGACCGATCAGACACGCCTCATTGTTACGTTTTTTAATAATCAAGGCAAAGAGAATTCCATGGCCAATGGCCCAATTGTTTTAAACATTTAAGAATCCTTCAGGGTCAATTTTACCGTCGACTCTTAATGTGTTCCCATGTCTTTATTACAAGTTGACAATGTCAGCAGCCCTAAACTCACTCAAGTTAAACCCCTAATCACTTATTGCAGATCAGATCCAACATTTTTTTAAAACAGAAGTACATAAATTTCTATGAAAAAATCATTCTCAATAACAAGTCAAGTCAATCAAATTTAAAAAAAAAAGAGAAGTTCATTTTAGTGAGGATAAGAAGTTTATCTCCCCATTAATCAAGCTTTTTTTTTTTTAGTTAGTTTAATTATTTTTTGTAAATTATAATTTGAATTTTAAAAAATATTTTAAAATTTTAAATTTAATATATTAAATGAAATATGTACTTTTGTGAAAATATTTATAAATAAATTTAACAATTTATATATTCATATCAAATAAAATATTAATAATTTACATCTTTATATTATATTTTATACAAAAATTATATATTATAATTTATATCAATATAAAATATATATATTTTATATTATTAAATTTGTTTATAGTTTTTATAAAAGTTTTTAATTATATTATTTTTATATTATATAATTATATTATATTTTAAATTATCATATCTATCTATAAACATTTTATAAAAAACCTAAGCTTTTCTTAATGAGACAGATCTTAGAGCATATTGATTTAGATTAAGGGTATAATTAAAAGATAGATTCACATTATTTTGTTGGGTAATGGCCTCGAGGGCTTCAGAAGAACAGGAATCCACATGTTGGCTGAAGTGCTTTAGGGGGGGGGGGTTCCCAGTTCCCGCTAGCCCATGGATTTTTCCTACAAGTCAATACTTGGTGGCCCATCCTTGTCGCATTGGTCCCACCTATCCTACATTCGCTGTCCTCAATCCCACTTGTCGACAATACAGTTAAAGACACGTTTCGTACCGAAAAAGATAAAGTAAAGACACGTTTGAGTTTGGAGTTTTGTGAAGCATCAACGATGAAAATGACCTTCGTTTTATTTGGAGTGAGCGACTCTGGAAACCATCTATCATATCCAATTTGATGTCGGCCAAATGCAAAAACTTCTAATTATTGGAGTAATCTTATTTAAATGGGGCACACAGAATGATATGTTATATAGATGGGCACACATAAGTATGAACTTTAGATAGAAAAAATATTAGAGTTAATTATAGGAATAATTTTTAAATTATAATAAAATATTTAATATAATATATGAATTTTTTAAAAAATTTAATATAATATTTGAAATATAAATTTATTAGTTAATATAATATTTAAAAAATTATTTATATATTTCATGTCATCGTTTGAAATTAATTATATTAAAATTAAATATTATATTAATTAATTAATTTATAATTCAAATATCACATTAAAAAATTTTAAAACTAATGTATTATATTAAATATTTTACTATAATTTATAAGATATTTATAATATTAACCCAAAACATTAAAATAATAAAAAAAATATTTGAATTAAAACTTTTACTAAATTGATTTATGCTATAAGGCAACTTTTATAATTTTTTCCTTACCTTCGTAGTGTAACTTATTTTATTAAAAAAAAAGACATTATCCTTACAAAAAGACATTATCCATGTCACTCTATTATTTTAATTACATTTCATCATTTTTTTTTACTTGAAGATATCAAAAATTAAAATTTGATCATTGATGTTAGAATCAATACTTTATCAATAAATTTATATAATTGATATATATTATTTAATTAATAAATGTGAATTCCAGATATTTGAATAATAACAATAATAAATACATTAATATAAAATAACAAATAATGAAAAAAAAATCAAATAATTTATTATTAATATTATTTGCATTTTTCTTTTTTTAATAATATTTCTCTTGCTTCTTTTGGAAAATAAAATTTTAATTAAAAATTTCTCATTTATTACTTAAAAGACTTTATCAATTTATAATCAAAATTTAATATATTATTTTGGAGAATATTTAAATTTAGCTTAAATTTAGTTGATGACATTGTCATTAATTATTGAATAAAAATAAAAAATAAATCACAAAAACATCAATCAAGATCAAATGAAGTTTTAATAAAATATCAATACGGAGAAATCATAGCTAATTTGTCAACAATAAAATTAAAGTCACGTTTGAGATTTGTAGTTTTTTAAGTCGTCAATAATGAAAATGACCATCATTTTGTGAGTGGCTATGGAAACTATTATATCCAATTTGAGGTCGGCCAAAAGCAAAACTTCTTATTATTGGAGTAATCTTATTTAAATGGGGCTCACATAGAATGAAATATTATGTAAATGGGGCACACGTAGTGCGAACTTTAGATACAAAAATATTAGGGTTAATGATATAAATAATCGTTAAATTATAATAAAATATTTAATATGATATTTAAATTTATAAAAAAATTATTATAATATTTAAAATATAAATTTATTAATTAATGTGATATTTAGAGAGTTATTTATATGTTTATTGTTATCATTTAAAATTAATTACATTAAAGTTGAATATCATATTAGTTAATAAATTTATAATTTAAGTATCACATTAAAAATTTTTAAAACTCATATATCATATTAAATATTTTACTATGAGTAATTCATGATATTAACTAAAAATATTAAAACAATACAAAAAAAAAAAAAAACTTGAATTTGAAATTTACTAACTTGATTTCTACAATAATTCAATGTTTATAAACTATTGTCTCATTTTCATACTACAATTTCTTTTATTAAAAAAAAAAAAGACATTGCCCATACGAAAATTAAAAGTGATATTATAAATTATTTATTACTCTATTATTTTAATTACATTTCATCATCATTTTTTTTACTCGAAAATATGAAAAATTAAATTTTAATCATTGATATTAAAATCTATATATAATAGACATATATAATTTAATTAATATACGTGAATTCCACATATTTGAATATAATAATAATAATAATAATAAAATATATATTAGTATAAAGTAATAAAGTAATGAGAAAAAATAAATCATTTAATATTAATATGTAAATAACTTTTTTTTTCTATTTCTCTTACTTCTTTTGGAAAAGAAAATTTTAATTCAAAATTTTATCATTTATCAATTAAAAGACTTTATTAATTTATAATAAAAATTTAATATTATTTTGGAAAATATTTAAATTTAGCTTAAATTTAGTTCATGACATTGTTATTCACTATTGAATAAAATAAAAAATAAATAAAAAAATCAATCTAAAGAAATATTAAATAAGACAATAAAAAATAAAAATAAACTGAGATATATCCACTACCAAGCAAAATGAAAAATAAAAAAAATTAATAAAATGCAATAATATAAGTAATTAATAATGTGTATTTTTTAGATTTAATAGTATAAAATATGATATAATAATATAATAAATACGTAATATGAATAAAAAAATAAAATTAATATGATTTATAATTTTAATAATAATTATTATATATTAATTTATTAAAATAAAAAATATATTTTATATTTTATATTATTTTGGATGATGATATATAATTTTTTTATAAAATATAATATGAATATAAGAATTTGAATATTTTACATTAGTAAAATGCATGTATCGCTAGATCTATCGTAGCCTAGGCTACAGGCTCTAGCACGTTTTATACGTCCAAATTACAGTATAAATAAATTTTTTTATGAACGCCATTTTCAATGGCTTTGTTTTGTTATCCAAATTCCACCATTTTCTTCCTCCTTTTTCTCTTTCTCTGACTCTCTATTATTTCCATTACCATGCGCTTCGCTCGGATCTCAAATCCTTTCTCTTACATCATATCCTCCTTCACTTGTTCCTCATAATCTCTTTCCTCATCCTTCCTCGGTTCGAAATCGAGAGCCCTGAGCTTTAACTTTTATTACCCTTTTTTTTCCTCTCGGCTCTCGATCCTTTGAAGCCAAAAAAACATTACATTTTGTTGTTTCCTTGATTGGTATATAAATTTCATTGCTATTCCAAGTTTTTCACTTGATTTACGGATTACCCTTTTCTTGTACCACAAGGAACAGCCATGGAAAACTTAGCAGCGCAGCTAAAACGGGGAATCTCCCGCCAATTCTCGACTGGGTCGTTAAAACGGACTTTCAGCCGGCAATTCACTCGGCAGTCGTCGTTGGACCCACGGAGGAACAATCTACGGTTCAGCTTCGGTCGGCAGTCATCGCTGGACCCCATTAGGAGGAGTCCCGTGCAAGATGAGCTGACGGTGCCGGAGAACCTGGACTCCACCATGCAGCTTCTGTTCATGGCGTGTAGAGGGGATGTTAAAGGAGTGGAGGATTTGTTGAATGAAGGCATTGATGTTAATAGTATTGATTTGGATGGCCGTACCGCCTTGCATATCGCTGCTTGTGAAGGTCACGTTGAGGTTGTTAAGCTTCTTCTTAGTAGGAAGGCTAATATTGATTCCCGTGATCGTTGGGGTAGCACGGTACATTTCTTTTCTTTTTTTAATTTTTATTTTTAATTTTCTTTTAAATCCTTTAATAGTTTGAACTGTGTGGAAATTTGTGATTAATTTATTGTTATGATTGTGATTAATGATCTTTATTGGTTGGTTTTTTTGAATTTGGACAAGGAGATTTTAAAATGTGAGATTTTTTATATTTAAACCATTTAGCTTTGAATGATTTGTGGGATTAAGTATATGGAATTGGGATCTTGGTGCTTGGATTTGGAAAATTAGGATGAGAAATCAAGGAGAAAAGGTGGAATATAAAAGTGCATCATTTTGAGATTCTAATTTTGATTTCCTTGATAACATTGCATATGGCTGATTACTTATAAAAAGCAGTTTGATTCATGATGAATATGAATGTGTGTTGAGCAATGTTAATAAAGTTATTGATTTCCTTGATAACACTGCATATAGCAGATTACTTATAAAAAGCAGTTTGATTCATGAAGATATGAATGCTTTTTGAGCAATGTTAATAAAGTTATTTTTATATGGGCAGGCAGCTGCTGATGCGAAGTACTATGGAAATGTAGAGGCGTATAATATTTTGAAGGCCCGTGGAGCAAAAGTTCCAGTATGATATTAAACTTTTTTTGTTTTTTGTCTTCCATCGATACGTTATTTCTGTTTGTGATTGATGATTTATGCCTGTATGAAGATTGATATTTACATATATGTCATGATATTAGAAAACCAGGAAGACGCCGATGACAGTTGCTAACCCTCGAGAAGTTCCAGAGTATGAGCTTAACCCATTGGAGCTTCAAATTCGGAAGTCTGATGGTATAACAAAGGTATGGGTTCTCTTCATTTTCTTTTACTGGATTGATGCTTTTGGAAACTCATGTATGGTCCAATCTGAAAGGTGATCAGGTTGATTTGCATATAGTATTCTGCATTTCATTCACTATGGTGTGAAATGATTAGTATTCTGCATTTCATTCCACTTTCAAGAGGCATGATACTTATTGTGGGCAATTGTTACACTTGATGAAAGATTACTGGGCATGTTTGAATTGTTGTAAAAGCATTAAAGGAATAGGGGGCATTTTTTCTTAATTGCTTTTTTAGGTTTAATAGTGGCTTATTTGGGATTGGTTTGGATGTCACATGCATCCAACATTTACTTTTGGTCTTTGCATTGTTACTAATTTGTTAAAACAATCTATTGTCTTTTATTGTCCTGCTGGTAAGACATTTTAGATTGCTGAGAAAGACATGTTTTCTTTAACGTCTCAAGATTAAAGGTTTTCTTTTTCTTTTTTTTGTTTGTTTTGTTTTTAACTTTTTTGTACAACTTGGAATTTGTCAATCATATTATGAAATGGTTAAACTTCTAATTTTTCTAAGAAAAGAATTTAATTCTGCATAATCTCCCTCAAATATTCACCAAACTGTTGTTCCTTTCAGCAAACTTTTGTATTATCCTTGACCATATCTTAGGCAGTCATGGTCATTCCCTCTGAGGTTGATGCGCAGATCTGCATCTTGATGAATTTATATTTATTCTTCATGTTTGAAAGACTAGAAGTGCTATATGATGCTCCTCGTTCAGTTTTTTTGTGCTTTTTATAGATGAATTTTTAACATTTCATAAATCACTTGCCAGGGATCGTATCAAGTGGCAAAATGGAATGGCACTAAGGTCTCTGTAAAGATACTAGATAAGGAAAGCTATTCAGACCCTGAAAGCATGTACGCACTTATCTTGTTTTCTTTCAGATATGTGTTTGACTCATGCGAATGACAGCATACATATGTCCTTTCCTTTCTGACATCAGTCATTTACACTTATGATGTTACTTTTATAGAGTTTATTACATATTTTATTTGGTTACCATATATTTCTTCTTTTTTTGAGAGCTGTATGATTTTTCAAAATCTTGTGAAAGGGATGATAGGATTTTCTTTGTTTACCAACTTTGTTGCACAATCTAACACGAAAGTATGTTCATATCTCTTCCCTTAACAGAAATGCTTTCAAACACGAGCTAACTTTACTAGAAAAAGTTCGACATCCAAATGTGGTTCAATTTGTTGGAGCTGTTACACAAAATATTCCCATGATGATTGTTTCAGAGTATCATTCAAATGTAAGCATATCTCTCTCTGTTCCACTCCCTGCCAGCCCCTTGACTATCTTGTCTGTGTTTTGTTCTGTCAATTTGTCCATTTATCTGTATATATGCTTGCTTCTATGTTCAATTATGATAGAAGATAAACACACTGCTTGTCCCTTTAGGATAACAGAAGAAAAAGTGGGATGACTAGAGAATGAAGATTTCCTCAAAGGCCTAGAAATTTTCTCCCATATTGTTTAGGTGGTGTCAAAATATAAAATGCATAAGCAGAAAAATTAATAGGTAAGGGAAAAAGAGTAGGATGTATGTCATTTTGCAACCAAGACCACTATGTATTGCATGTGTGGAGAAACAATGCATTGAGTAAAGACTTACCCGTTTCCTGGAGTGTTTCTTAATGAATGAACTTAACCTCACGACCATCTTAAATCATTTGTGGATACAACTTTGTTTTCTTTTTCCTGCAGTTCTATAGTGGAGCTTCTGATATTTCAACTTTATTCCACATAGTTTTCATTCAGTTTAGTTTTACATATTCTGGAGATGGTATGTACTTAAAATATTCTGGCATGGTTCCTGTATTTGGTAATTAAAATGTTTTCTACACTAGGAATTGTTTAGCGGCATAATTTGCTTTGTCTAGAGAAAGTCTTTAGTGTTTTACTCACCACTTTAACATTACTATGGTGATGATCCTTATTTCAGGGTGACTTGGGAAGCTATCTTCAAAAGAAAGGGCGTCTATCACCATCCAAAGCTTTAAAATTTGCTCTTGACATTGCCAGGCATGTGTTTTTTTTGTAATATTCTCTATATTATCACTTTAATCATCATAAGTTCTATTTTTGACCTATGCAAAACTCAAACGTTAATGTGCTGAATATGCTTCTTGTACTTCTATCCTACATTTTCCTTTATTTAATAATGCATGGAACTGCTTCTAGTCATTCATTTCTCCTGGTTCTTCACTTTTTGACTATCATTTTCTTGATATCAGGGGAATGAATTACCTTCATGAATGTAAACCAGACCCTATCATTCACTGTGATTTAAAGCCAAAGTAAGGCAACCACTGTAGAAGTTGATATAGTGCTTGCAGAAATTGCAAGTCGAGTTTTTTTTAATGTACTTGTTGTGATGTACTGTTCTTTAATATTTGAAATTTTGGTAAGGTGCCAGAAATGTTTTGCTGGATAATGGAGGTCAGTTGAAGGTAGCTGGATTTGGTTTGTTAAGATTGTCAAAAATATCACCTGACAAGGCAAAATTAGCACATCCAGACGCTCAAGTTGATCCATCAAGTGCGTTTGTTACCAAAAATGTTTCCTCTGGATGTTCAATAGAAGAATGATACATGTATTCTTTATGCTATTGGTAAAACTGTGACTAATGATTCGGTTTTTCTGGTTGTAGATATATATGTGGCACCTGAGATTTATAAAAATGTGATATTTGATCGAAGTGTTGATGCATATTCTTTCGGTGTTATGCTATATGAGGTACATGGTCTCTCAAAATTTTGTTGTCGACTAATGCAAATGTTACTTTCTGGCTAAAGGCAGTTTAATTGTTTTTGAGAGTTTCATTCCTTGTTTTTCTTGCTGACATCTTTCAGATAGTGGATGTGTTGGATTTTTCTAAAAAAGATGCTCACCTGTTTCCGCCATTGTGATAATTTCCTCTGTAGCTCTGTGTGTGTGTGTGCGTATGTGTGTGGGTGAGAGTGAGTGAGAATAAGTCAATGTGGGGATTTTCTGGGGAGGGGGTTTAGGGAAGTAATTATTCGGGCAAAAGGTGCTTTTTAGTTTGATAGTAGGTATTAACCATTTTCTGTTTTGTTCTTTTGTGAATTCAGATGATTGAAGGAGTAGTGCCTTTTCATCCTAAGCCTGCCGAAGAGGCTGTGAAATTGATGTGTTTAGAAGAAAAGAGACCACAATTCAAGACCAAATCAAGAAGTTATCCTCCAGACTTAAGAGAGTAAGTTTGGGATTTGAGATGAAGAAGAGACTGTCCTTGCTTTCTAGCTTCAAGTTCATTGAATTAGCGACAGGGTCATTTTTCTTTGTGCATGCGTGTGTGCATGTTTGTTTTTGTCTTCCTTACAAATTTAATTAGAAGGAAAAACCCAGGTTTGTTTTTTATCTCTCTTCTCACAAGAAAAAAGTGCAGTGCATCCTATGGCTTATCTTGTGTCAAACAATATATTTACAAATATTCTAAGCTTTACTGCCATTGTAATATATGGACAGGCTGATTGAAGAATGCTGGGATCAAGAACCTGTTGTTAGACCGACCTTTTCAGAGATCATTGTACGATTAGACAAAATAGTTGCCAACGGCTCAAAACAAGGGTGGTGGAAAGACACTTTCAAGCTTCCTTGGTATGCTTCTATCACTATTTTTTTTGTTTAGGGTTGGTTTGTATATGTTACATGTGAATGAAATGTTATTGGAGTTCCTCGAAGTATCATGACCATACACCATGTTTTAGCTAAGGCTTTTAATTTGAGCTCGAGTTTATCTTTTGCCCCTTAAAAAAAAATTCAAGGGTGTTCTAAATTGAATTTCTGATTAAGATACCTTCTGATTTAGTAAAAGAATTAGAAATAAATGACTTGAAATGTTAAGCTGTCCATTCATTGTTAGTATGATGGAATGGATTATTTACTCCAGCAGCAAGTTTCAATGTCTTTTTTGTTTTTCATACAGGAAAAGTTAGAGGAGGTAGTTAGATATCACAGATTGGAACACTTAGGACTAACTTCATTATGCCAGATTTGAAGTGATTTTAACATATGTGGACCCCAATTTCCATGCATGTGCTTATAATAGTGTGAGACGTTCAATTTGCATAAACAGAAGTGTTCTCACACATACATATATATATATATATATATATATATGTTCTAAACGAGAAGTTCAACTTTGCATATACACATATACACACACCTTGTTAACAAGCAAAGGGTGAATGTAGATAACTTGTTTTGTTTTATCAAAGAGTTTGTTTCGAACACAGGAACTGCTTATTCCTTGCTGATTGTTGTGTGGCTATGTGCTTTGACCAAAGTTACCAGACTGCCAAAATGCAGGATGCCAAAAGAAGAGAAAGGGGCTTTTATGGTTTTTGTTTTTCATCATATATCTAAAAGATATTAACCTGAATCTGCTAATTACCTCTAGCGACCAGATAGCCTAGATAAAAGATCTTGTACTAAGAAATGGAATTTTTTATGTGATTAAGTACTAAGAACATTTGATTAATAATAGTAATATGTTTTGCTCAAATATAATGAAATTCAGTTTTAAAGCATTATTATATGCATAGTGAAAGATTTTTAGTAGAGTTCATCCTCGCAAATCTTGTTATTTCAAAATTTTGAAGTTTGCCTTTTAATCTAATGCATTACATCTTACATGTTATTTTTTGCAGGAAATAAGAGAGGGTTCAGTTCTGTTCAATTTGTTCGAAAAAGAGAAAATATGATGAAGATTTTGAGGGAGGTTTCGATCTCGAGTTTTTGTTGCTTCATCTTAAAAATTGTATGTTACAAAAACCGAGTTAACAAAGTATAAAATCATGTTGAAATAAAGCAAAAGAGTGATCTTTCCTCTCTATTTCTTCTGTCTAAAAGTTGGAACAGTTTGTTTCCTTGTTATGTATGATGTGTAAAAAAGCTTACAAATGAAAAATTATAAATCAGAAGAATTAATGTACTTGTACATTTGGTGGACTTGACAATAAAATTGATGTTTCAGTTTTGAAATTAAAAATTTCAATAATTTTTTTAAAATTTTAATATTTTATTGTCCCTCCAAATTTAAAATATATATTATTTTATTTGTCTTTGATTTTAATTTTTTTCCCACCAAATTTAAAAATATATTATTTTATTTATCTTGTTGATAAAAAAAATAGAAAAAGGTCCTTACACTGACCACATTTCATAAAACAGCCCAACTAGTCAAGATTAAAAAGTCAAAACAAATCAAATCCCACTTTAACAGAGTAACTTTCCTTGTCCGCAGAGTAACGGTCGTTGTACCCTTTTAAACCCTCCCACTCCCTGTCCTTTAAACCCTCCCAGTCTTAAACCTTCCTGCGTGTTCAACTTTGCCTTTTTCTTCTTTGATTTTTTTCTTTCATTTTATAAGTTCAAAATTTTTTTATCCATTAAAAAAATATTCTCTCTCAGTTCTCGTCTACACACTGTAAGTAACATGACTTTTTATTCAACAATTTATTTAATTTTTTTTGGTTATCCTTGAATTTTGCTACTTCAAATTTTATTTTACTGTAATGTTTGTTTTACTTAAGTTTTTTGGTCAATATCAAATATATATTTGCTTTTGCATTTTTTGGTTTTCAAGTTTCTGAAATGATTCTTTTAGTTGTTAATTTCGCTACATTTTCTTTGACTTCTTATTTTTTGATTCTTGTATTTTATTACTTCAAATTTTTTGATCCATAATAAATGTTCTTTTTCAGTTCTCACCCACAAACCTTAAATAACATGCTTTTTATTCAAGAATTTATTTAACTTTTTGGTTATTCTTGAATTTTGCTGTTTCAAATTTTATTATAATGTTTGTTTTTTTTTATTAATTTTTTTACTCAAAACTAAAAATTAATTATAATTATCGAATATATATTCTCTTTTGCATTTTTTTGTTGTCAAGGTTCTTTTTAAGTGGAGTGAAAATGGATGTTAAGTATTGTTTGAAATGAATTTTGAACAAATTTTATGAACTGCTTGTAAATTTTTTAATAAAATTTCTTGTTTTCGCTTTTCTTTTATGAGAAACAGATGCTTTGAATTTTCCTCTTTTTTTTTTTTTTTTTCAGTATTTTTATAGCTGCATACTTTCTTTCTGTCTTTTTTCTTTTAATTTTTAATTTTTTTCAAAAAAATTTTCATTTGAATTTATTTGTTAATTTTTGACTTGAACAAAATTAAAAAAAATCTAATTTTACTTAACTAGCTCCTAATGTGATGCAATTGAAGATAATTTTTCTTTATTTGAAATGTTATCTTCATCAGGTTAATAGAGTGGTTGTTGCAGAAACGTGAATGTGCTCTGTTGTTGACAATAAAAAAATTGATATTGATAATGGCTTCTAGAACGATTTTAATAAGGAAGAGATTTATTTCTGATTACCTGAATGGCTTTTCATTCTCAGTCCAGACCTCACTGTGTCATGGCCATCCTACTCATAAGTTGAAATCATGTAGTTTTGAAGATTTTAATCGTGTAAAAAAATCAGATGTAAATTCTCTTACCAAACAGGATTTAGTAGGTTTTTTGGGGTTAGAATTCTCTAGATGCTCAGTTTTGTGTCCTGGAAGTGCAAGATTTCAATTCAATTCTCCATTAAGTGTCATGTCATATTCTGTTCGTCATTCTTCGACGGCTACTGCTAAGCAACCCGAACGAGATAATGAGGGAAATGAAGAATTGGTCTCTAAAAAGAGAAAGGAAGCATCTGCAGAAGAATGTGATCAAGCTGTTGAAGGTTTGAGTACCGTTAAAGCCAAAGTGAAAGCCAAACAGTTAAAAGATTTTCAAAAGGTTGCCAAATCCATTTTGCAAAAAATATGGGTTACAACAATTGGGATTGGTCCTTCTTTAAGAGCTGTAGCTTATATGAGCAGGTCAAACTTTATTCTTTTAATTATTAAGGTTTTTAATAAATCAGTTACATGATTTGAATTGATTTTTGATGTATTGTATATTTAATATTCTATTTCTTTTTATAGGGAGGATTGGGCAAAGAAACTTGTTCATTGGAAACACGAAATTCGTTCTACTTTGCAACATTATTGGTTGGGTTTTAAGCTACTTGGGGTTGATGTGAGGATCAGCTCAAGATTGCTGCTAAAGCTTGCGGGTGGTAGAAGTTTATCTAGAAGGGAGAGGCAACAGCTGACTCGAACTACTGCTGATATCTTTAGGCTAGTCCCATTTGCAGTTTTTATCATAGTCCCATTCATGGAATTTCTTCTGCCTGTTTTTCTAAAACTGTTCCCCAACATGTTGCCATCGACTTTTCAAGACAAGATGAAAGAGCAGGTATATAGGCATTCTTTTTAGAATATCTCCTGTTAAGGCAGGAAGCTTTGAAGTTAGGTTTCTCCTTTATACATGCATGATAAAGTGGGTGAAAATGAGCCAGCATTTTCTTTGTCAGCCTTAAACTGATATATTTTTATTCGTTTGGTTTTCTTTCCAAACAACAAGAGTTTTCTTTCACCATAATTTTATTACGATTGCATATGTGAATAAATTTGTGTTAAATTTTCTGAAAACATTTTATGCAAAAAAGGGCTGGTGGATATCAATACTTGCTTGAGCTCATATATGTGAACAAAATTACTAAAATTTGTGTTCACCTTGTTTTAAGCTTCATATATAGATCAGAATATGAGTTTTTAGCCAGTGGGATGTTAAATTACCTTGCTTAGGAGAAAATGGAGAAATAGAGAAAAGAAGCATAGGAAAAAGAATCAATAACATAAAACGTCTGAGATTATAATATTAAGTATTAACTGATAATATGTATGGACCTATTGCTGATAATTTGAAGCCGAGAGATATAAATAGATAGGCATTGGCCCTGCTACATAAATCAGGAATATTAAGGTCTCTTTACATATTTTTTGCCTTTATTTACGAGGTAATCTGCAAAATATATATTTTTGAGAGAGGATCATTATCTAGGCAATTGAAGGATTTGTGGTATTTCTGTTATGTCAAACATTAGGCTGGGTTCTGATTTTGGGGTAGTATTATTGAATGAGTGCTGTAGGCGTCTTACTTTCCTTGTAAGTATCCTAGTTTGTTGTTTCTTTTTCTAGTTGTTCTAATAACAGTTACTTTTTTTCTTATATTCACCAGTTTCCCTTGATAGAAACTGGACCAAATCTTTCTTCTTCGTTTATAAATATTTTATTAATCAAAGTTATTGGATAAATAAGATTTCTCTGTGTGTAAGGGCGTGCAAGCACACTTGCTTGTGTCTATGGAATGTGCACTTGGTTGGACCTATGTGTATGCGTATGAGGAGGCAGATTTTTGGTGTTAACTGTGCAAAGTGTGTGTGTGGCTATGGCATGCCCCTGCTCTCCTCCCTTTCCTTTTTTTTTTTCCAAGGCATGTCTTCTTACTTACTGAACATGTAGGAAGCACTGAAAAGGAGGCTTCATGCAAGAATAGAATATGCCAAGTTTCTTCAGGATACAGTCAAAGAAATGGCAAAGGAGGTTCAAAATTCTAGGAGTGAAGAAATTAAGCAGACTGCTGAAGATCTTGATGAATTTTTGAACAGGGTAAGATACTATCTCATCTATGATTTTTCTTGTCTCTTTTCCTTGTTTCCATTATTTAACTTTAGCAATTGCATTCTTGATATTTTGCAGGTCAGAAGGGGTGCCGTTGTATCCAATGATGAGATTCTTGGCTTTGCCAAGCTGTTTAATGATGAACTCACTCTGGATAATATCAGCAGGTTGGTCTCCATTTAAATGTTCTTGTATTTGAAAGCTTTTGACTAATTAATTTAAATTGAATTGTTGATTCAGAAAAGTTGTGCTATTTTATTTCATGTTCTTGTTTTTTTCTTCTGCCAGGCCCCGATTGGTAAATATGTGCAAATATATGGGAATCAGCCCTTTTGGAACAGATGCATATTTGCGTTATATGCTTCGGAAGAGACTCCGATGGTAAAACTTGTTTATCCAATCTGAGCTAATTTAAGTGTTACATGCCTTGTTTTGGCAGAACATGCCAATGTAGTTGGATGTATTCGAGAGTAGTGAATGAATTCTTCCAGATCTTCTCCATTGAACTTGTGTTTTATCGTGGTTGCTTGGGCAGATTAATTTCAACTGAGGTTATTTGACTTTATCATTTATGAACTCATGATAACATCTTGGCTTTGGAGAGGAATCTCGTTATTGTGTGATTTCTGGTTCCTTTTTCACTTGTAAAGTTTAAATATAATCAAGTTACCCCTTAAAGCATAACTTGTGTTGCATTTTAAAACCACGTGGTTTCATGGTATGAGTATTCCCTTAGGCTCCGTTTGATTGGTGCTTTTGCTTTTTGCTTTTTGTAATAAGAAAGTGAAAAGCAAAAAATCCCAAATGAACCAAAATAAGAGGAGTTATGAGTCTTGTTGAAATTTGGGTTTGATTTTCTTGGTATGGTATTCTTGAAATCTGGTTTTCTTTCTAGCGGAGTTTAGTTGAAGCTATTTAGTTTCTTTAGCTTTTCTTCACTTTAATATTTGGGACCCAACTAAGCTCTCTTTTTAAAATCCTTTCTCCGTCTATCTCATCCCTTTGCTTTTTCAGTAATTTTGAAGTCATTGTGAATGTTGTTATTGTTACTATTTTCTTATTGTTATTATTTATGTTTTAGGATTAAGAAGGATGACAAGTTGATTCAAGTGGAGGGCGTGGAGTCCCTATCAGAAGCTGAACTTCGTGAAGATTGTAGGAAGCGAGGCATGCTTGGAGTGCTCTCAGTAGAAGAATTGCGTCAACAGGTGTTTTGTTTTTAATTTTTAAGTGCTTATTTACTTTTACCTTTGCCAATTAAGTCTTGAGATTCTGCAATCTCTATCTGCACCTTATTTGCAATGATAAGTTGTTGATCAGATATTCTATGGTCTCATGTGTTGATAGGCTTCTGAATTTGCTTATTTTCACTTTTGGTATCACCATTATTTATATTTTTTTTATGTTGTATGGTCCGGTTATGACAATTGTACAAACATACCCTACTCCAAAACCCTACCATGCCAAAACCATCCACATGAAAGAATATTAAAAAAAAAGGGATTTAATTATGCTGTATTGATTTAATTCTATTGGAACAATCTTTTTTTTTTTTTTTCTGATTTGGTGCGTTTAGATGCTCGGATGAGATGATTTTTTCAAAAGAATTGTTTTATCTTTATTTTTTAAATTGTCTTGGAGGGACTTGTTAGTGTTTCTTCTATTTATTGGTTATGTAATTAATTGCAATATCATGTACATTTTTATGTGACTCCTTAACAAGGCTAACATCTGCCTGCAGCTTCGGGATTGGCTGGATTTGTCTCTCAATCACTCAGTCCCATCTTCCCTTTTGATCCTTTCCAGGTGATTTGAAGTTTTGTTTTATGTTTTCTTTCTTCCCATGTTTTGTTGGTTACTGAAGTTCATCAGTTGACGCACGTGTTTACCTTTTCTTCATCAGATCTGAATCCTTATTATTCTGATTTGATACCCTCTGAAGGGCCTTCATTGTATCAGGAAAGCTGAAGCCAGAAGATGTTGTTCGAGCTACCCTTTCTTCTCTACCTGATGAAGTTGTGGATACCGTTGGTGTTACAGCTTTACCATCTGAAGATTCTGTTTCAGAAAGGAGAAGGAAGCTGGAGTACCTTGAGATGCAGGAAGAACTGATCAAGGTTGAAAAAGGAAGATGTTTTTTTTTTTTTTTTATATATATTATTGCCATATAATAGCCTCCTCTACTGTAGGGTGCGTACCATTGGGGCCTCCTATGGGGCTAAGTTGGTCCTGCTTTTTGTGAAATAGTTGGGTATAATCTTAATGTCCTGTAAATAGAGGCCTCAACTCTTAAAGTTTTCTGCTTAGGCTTTAGAAATGAGCCTAAAAGCAGCTTTCCGGATCTTGAGCACTTCTTTTGAATTGCCTTGTTCTAAATTGGTACCTTTGTAGGAGGAGAAAGAGAAAGAAGAAGAAGAGCTGGCAAGGGTGAAGGAATCTAAAGCTAGTGAAGAGGATGTGGCATTGAAAGAGATGACTATCCCAACGGCTAGAGAAGCACAAGAACAGGCTATAGCAAGAACATTGGAAAAGCAAGAGCAGCTTTGTGAACTCAGTCGTGCATTGGCTGTTTTAGCTTCAGCATCTGTAAGGACTTGATTTTAAGATTCTCTTCAGTGGCTGTCATTCTGTCAATTCTATTCTTTCTATTGTTTTCTTCCTAGCATTGCCTCTTGCAATGTTGATTTGACTTACTTTGTTCCTAATATGTAGTCTGTGAGCCGAGAGCGTGAAGCGTTCCTGGGTCTTGTCAATAAGGAGGTATGTTATAAACTTGGATAGCATTTTATTTGGTCGTAGTGAAGAAATCTGGGTGCATGACGTTCATATTTTACATTTAACTAGTTATTGGCAGAAGTCAATGAAGCAAGTTTAAAAATAAGACAGTTTTTGTGCAATGTCCTTATGGTATTCTTAACTTGGAAAAATCATTAAAGAAATGATAAATCTGCTAGTTCTGTTCCTTTTTATTTTATGTTGATGTTGGGTTTTTCCAATGTTGCCAGATAGAACTTTATAATAGCATGGTAGAGAAAGAGGGTGTAGATGGTGAAAAGGATGCCATTAAGGCATATAGAGCTACAAGAGAGGAAGGTGACCATTCTAGTGAAGCGTCTGAAAGTGATGAGGTTTCTTTGGCACTTACTGAAAAGGTAAGACTCATGGGAACTAAGTTTTGTTGCAGTTTCTCTATTTCTTATATTGTTATAGAAAGCAAAGCATTTACCATTCTCGTCACTTGTTAGGTTGATGCCATGCTCCAAAATCTTGAGAAGGAAATTGATGATGTAGATACAAAAATTGGTGATCGTTGGCGATTACTTGACAGGTGCAAATTTGTTTTGGATTGTTTCCTTTTCTCCTGTCTTGGCTTTGTACTATGATGCTTGCAAATAGTGTGATGTTTTGTTATCATAATGTTATGTTTTGTTATTGAAAAAGATTAATGGAGTTAGGTGTTGTTATTCATATCAACTGTCACATGGGAACAGTTACCGGCATCAAGGACGGGGTGACCCTAAACCCATACTTGATTAAATAATATTAGCTGAAGTCATCTTGAAAAGCTCATGGACTGATCGTAAGAAACAGTGTCATGCAATTTTTGCTGATCTTGGCATTTGGTGTATGTAATCAAATATATGAAAAATGTTCTCTGTCTGCAGAGATTATGATGGGAAAGTCACTCCTGAGGAGGTGGCTGCCGCTGCTATATACTTGAAGGATACACTTGGCAAGGCGGGTGTGCAAGAGCTCATCAGCAATCTTTCCAAAGATACAGGTCAGCTAAAACAATTTTCCTTCTTCATGGTCAATCACTTGATTTATTTGTTCACAAGACGGACTATATGCTCTCATCGTTTCAATTTAATAGATGGTAAAATTCTCGTGGAAGACATTGTCAAATTGGGCAGTCAGACAGAAGATGACAATAGTACCGAGGAGGCGAGAATACAGAGATTATAGTCTTTTTTCGACTTTCATTTAATTTTTTATTTCTCCTTAATACATTTTGTAGTTAGCATTCTAGTTGGTCCAATGCATCTCTTGGCACAATCTTTGACATTGTTCAAATGTTTATAAATAAAGATGGAAATAGATGCTATTTACATCTAAGTTGAGCTACAAATTCATCTATATTCTTGTCTGAGCTTCCCCCTTCATTGACTGCCTGTACGGCCAGTTTCTTCCACTTATCTGAATTCCATTTTATAGCTTTACTTTTATCTCCTCCCATGATTTCCCTTATGCACCGTTCTATCTCTTCCTTTGTGATGATTCCTTTGTCATCCATCCGAGCTCTTATTCCCACCTGCCATACATCGGCAACAAGTTTGGCATTTGTTGTTTGATCTGAAAATTGTGGCACTGCTACCATAGGCACCCCCAAGCTTAATGCCTCCAGTGTCGAGTTCCATCCGCAATGAGTCATGAAGCAACCGACTGCCTTATGAGCTAAGACTTCTAATTGAGGACTCCAAGACACTACCAGCCCTTTCTCTGAACTCTCTTCTAAGAAGTTGGCAGGAAGCTTTTTCTTCTCAGTTTCTCTAACTACCCACAGGAAGTAGCTGTTGCTTCCCTTTAGACCTAATGCTAGATCTTTCATTTGCTCCTCTCCTAGGGCCGCCAAGCTTCCGAATGATACGTAAACAACTGAGCCTGTTTCCTTAGAGTTTAACCAGTTATTGCATATGTCGATCTCAGGCTTGAAGAGGTGTATGCCGTAATCCTTGTCATCCTCCAGCCGTTTGTCTAGGTACTTTGATGGAATTGTAGGTCCAATTGTCTTGATTGACCTCAGGCTTCCCATCCAGCTCAGTACCTGCTCGGAGTTATCAACAAATTTGGGGTTAAACCACACATGAAGTTACAAAATTCACTTGTTTAGTTGGCAAACGAGCATATTTTTAACTTATATCAGAAATCAGGATGCATGTATGTACCTCCTCTTCTAAGCTAGTGAAAGTATTAACCAAAACCCAGTCAGCTTTTCTGAAGTTTAAGAACTGATTCACTGACAGGTGTGTTAAGGCTGGATAGGCTCCTATGTCATAAACAAAAGTTGGCAGGTCGTATTCTTCAAGTAGTGGCAAGCCAACAATCGAGAAAGAGGACTGAGCAGCAAGTGGAACCTTGAGCAATCCTTCATGGACGTTGTAGAAGATGGTATTGACCGCACACGATTGAGTGAAGAATGCAGCTCCATGGAGGCCTTGCTGTTTGGCTATGTCGAGTGCCCATGGGATGACTGAGTCGTAAATTAGGCAACTGACTGAGTGGTTAGACTTAGACATGCCTAGTTTAGCAATGATCTGAGGTAGTCTTAGTGTCACAACTGCTTTGAAACGCTCTAGATATGCATCAGGACTTTCTACTAGTAAATTGTCTGCTTCAAGATCATCAGAAATAGGCTCAAGTTTGACAGGACCGTCCTGCACTGCCAAAGGCTTATTGCCAGTGAAGGTAAGTAGTGTGACTTCCAGACCCTTGGAAACCAGGCGTTTTGAGAACTGTAGCATTGGGTTAACGTGACCTTGGACTGGGAAAGGCAATACCAGAACCTGGGTTTCACAAACATTTTCTTGTTTCTTCATTTTACCTCCTCAATGATCTGATGAACTACTGATTCCCCTCTGTTAAAAACAAGAAATTTATGCGTCGTGGAAGCCTAGCACACCACAAAAAATTGGTGGAAATCAAGAAATCTGATGGTATACACCATGCATCTTCTCCTGCATTAAATTATTGATGCTTGGTTATTGAAATGTCGTTTCATGATCATTTATCTTTGGTCTTTGATAGTACATTCATTTACAAAATGCATGGCCCAGCCCAGTTTGGTCATATCACTGTTACGTACTTCCATGCAATATGTTTGTGGTCATTGCATTTTCCATTATCTTTGTTCCATTATTGTCCTCAATAAGAAACAAATAATTAGCTGGACTTGGACTGCCTTTTGAAACGCTTTTGAAATCAATAATAGAAAGTACTTATTTCAAGTCACGCAGATTGTTGTACCTATTTACCAGATTAACACTTATTATTATTTAATTATTAACTGTCACGTCACTATAAATGATAATAAATATCTAGATTTTTCCTTATAAAATAAACTCGTCACTTACAAAGGAGAGATTTATCCAACACTTCCACAAGCATCATTTTAAAACAATATAATTGGCTTACAAGAGAATAGATTTACAATTTATTAGAAATTATTAAATATAATTTATGTTTGTATGAAATTATTAACTATAATTTATAATTATTTACATAATTTTTTAAAATTTTATGTAAATTTATTATCAATTATTAATTATTTCGAATATATCATTATTTTTTTATATATAAAATAAAAAAAAAGTTTATTGTGATTTTTTTTTTCGTAACTTAATGATTAAAAACCGAATTAAAAATTATGTAGGTATAGATTTAACTCCGTCATTCCCTTTGTAAAGACACTAATCCTTTTTTATAAAAGAAAAAAAAATGTATTTTATTGTCTTTTTTTTTTTTTACTTTAAATAATCAAACGTTCACTTGTCTCATTCTTTCTCTCACGTTTTAATTTTTTTTCTTTTTTTTTTTTGAAATTTTATATTAATAATAAATTATCTATTATTCAAGTATTTCACCAAATAATGGGTGTGCATAAAGCTAATTGTATATAATGTATTTGACTAAATTTAAAATTATCAACGAAGAACCAATAAAACTAGAAAATTTCAAAATAAATTAACTAAATTAATAAAAAATAAAAATAAGATTTTTTTGGCCTTTTTTTAAATATATAATGCATCTTTATGATAATCACATAATATTAAGTTAATTTCCCCTTTAATTAATAAATTTATCAAATTATTTAATTAATTTTTTAAAACAACCAAAACGCAAACTATATTGTCGCTTTGTCCAAGTGGTTTAGTCAGCCATGAACAGTTCTGCCCCTGCGAAAGTTCTATTTTTTTTCCCCAATTTCTCTATTTTTAATTATATCGTCCATCTTTGGGTCAATGGTAATCAATCAAGTTTAGTGAGTCTGAAACTTAAAAGAGTGCCTTTTGCTTTTGGAATTGCCTCATTTTCATTTGCACAATGGCAATTTTGAGGGTTTTATGTATATATTTGCTTGGCGATCACAATTAAGGTGCGATCTCTTTTCTCCTTATTTTTGATTTGGGTTTTAGGGTTTTTGTTCATCGCTTATTTCAGCTTTTGCTCTTCCTTTCTCTGTTTGTTAAAGTTGGAAGTTGAATTCTTTATCAATCTGCTAAAACAAATTTAAAAGAAAAGTTTGTTTGTTTGGTGGAAGAGAAAGAGTGGGAAAATTTCTGCCTTTGATTTTGATGTAAGTTGAAAGGGCTAAGAAATTGGGTGCGTTTTGGAATTTAATTATCATCCCGATATCAATTATTTGCTAATTGCTCAAATGTTAAATTAGCTTAATTGCTTCTGCTTACTATTATGAAATGAATTTACCCATCTCAATTTTCGCATGTTTGTTCAGTTCTCATACATGGACTTTGCTTCATTTCAACTAATTTATTGATTGACACCCTCCCTTGTAGTTTTCGCTTTCGATTTTCGATAATAACAGCAAATGGATAACTTTGACCAGAAGCTTGGTCCAGGTAATCTCTCTTTTCTTTGCAACCAAATAAAGAATACCTTTGTTTTGTTCGTAATTTCGATTCTGTTCCCACTTGTTTACTAAGAGTGTTCTTTTCATTGCCTTTATTTATTTCCCCTTGTATTTTGAAACATTTCTCATCAACTCTCTCAACTGCAGATTTTTTCAAGAATCTCACAGGGGAAGCCATTGCCCCGTTAAACGTGGTTCATGAAGAAATATATGAAAGCTCGTCAAAGCGACCAAAAACAACATCTAAGGTCTGGGACGTTTTTGAGAAGCTTCCGGCACAGCAAGGAGATTCCAAAGCTATATGTAAGTTATGCAGGAGGATATATACTGCTAAAACCACTAGTGGTACTTCTCACTTGAGACGTCATATTGAAGCATGTGTTAAACGCGGTAATCATGATCTAGATCACCGCTCGATAGAAGCATGCTTTAAACCTGTTAACCGTGATGCTAATCGCCTCACTCTTTCGCATGACACCTTGATTGCTGCTACTACGTCCTTAAAGAGCTATAAATTAGATGTGGATGAGATTCGTCAGGCAATTGCAATGATGATCATTGTTGATGAACAACCATTCAGAATGGTTGAAGATGCAGGTTTTAGACGTTTATTGAGTGCTGCATGTCCTGAATTTCCGGTGCTGACTACGAAGTCTATTAAAAGTGATATAATTTCCATTTATGTGAAGGAGAGAGAGAATATCCGTGAATTGCTAGCAACATGTCCTGGTCGGATTTGTTTGACATCCAGTACATGGAAATCCAATTGTGATGATCATTTTAATTGTGTCACTGCACACTTCATTGATCATGAATGGAGATTGCAGAAGAGGATTTTAAGTTTCAAGCTTATACCTCCTCCATATGATAGCTTGTCTGTTGCAGATGAGATAGCTTTGTGTATGGTTCAATGGAACATTGAACACAAGGTGTTCAGCGTTACTCTGGAGAACTTGTCGAGTGATGATTGTGTGGCTAACATGCTTAAACCACGTCTTGATGCGAAAAAGTACCTCCCTTGTAAGGGTGCATTTTTTCATATGAGTTGTTTCTTTCGCATTTTGAATTTGATTGTGGAATCTGGTTTCAACCTGGTTATTGATATCATTGGAAAACTTAGACTCGGTATTAAGTACGTGCAGCAATCCCCCCATCGGAAGAAGAACTTTTACATAATTGCTAAGACATTGAATTTGGATACTCAAAGAAAGTTGTGTCTTGATTCTCCTACTAGGTGGAATTCCACATATAACATGATAGAAGTTGCTTTGTGTTATAAGAATGCATTTGTGTACTCGGCAGAACAGGACAAAAACTTTATACACAAATTATCAGAAGATGAGTGGGAAAAGTTGAGTGTGTTATACAAATTTCTGAAAGTCTTTTTCGAGGTGACATGTTTATTTTTTAGAAACAGACAGCCAACTTCAAATTTATATTTCAAACCCGTGTGGAAAGTTCATAGTCGCTTGTTTGATATGGTTAGAGGTCCAGAAAATTTTATGACTTTCTTGGTCAAGGAAACGCACACTAAATTGAACCAATACTGGTCAGAGTATAACTTGATCTTGTCATGCGCTGCAATCTTGGATCCTAGGTATAAGATTAAGTTTGTTGAATATTGTTACACCAAACTGTACGGTAGTGGTGCTCAGAAATATGTTAGTATAAGTGTTAACACTTTGAATGGCCTGTTTGGTGAATACATGCAAAATTCTGCCTGCCCTTCTCGTACTGCTGTGTTATCAGTTGCTACCAGTAAAATCTCCAATGATAAAGATGATAATGACGGGTTTGAAGATTATGAAACCTTTCAAAGTGCCAGATTTCGAACTCAAGTGGAGAAGTCTCAACTTGATCTTTATTTAGAAGAACCAAGCCATGACCTAAACAGTGAAATAGATGTCTTAGAGTATTGGACTTTATGTTCCCTGAGGTATCCGGAGCTGTCGAGAATGGCTCGTGATGTTTTAACCATTCCAGTGTCCACTATTGCTTCTGACAGTGCATTTGACATTGGTCCTCAAGTGATTAGCGCTGATCGTAGTTCTTTAAAATCAAAGATGATACAAGCTTTGGTTTGTCTTCAAGATTGGATGCTGGCTTCTGATAGAACAAGTAAGTTGGTTTATTGATTGCATATCATAATTGCTATTGTCCTATGCATAACTGCTTTGGTTTAAAATCTCTGTAGGAGCTTCAGGCTCTATGGAAAGCAGAACTGAAGATGATAGCTCCAGTTCTAGTGATGGTGATGATGATTATTAGGTAATTTTTTTTTAATCATATATCTATTGCCATTGTTTTTTTAAATATTTTTCCCCAGTTTAAAAATTTATCGATATTCTTTTGTGTATTGAGGGGAAAAAGAAAGATCATCAGCCCTTTTGTTGGGTCTTGTGTTAGTGGGTGCGTTTTCGTTCTGGTGATGGTTGGTTATATTGTTTCTGAACTTCACGAGTTCTTCAGGGATTATTAGGCCATTCAGTTTCCCTGTGAGCTTTTTCAAATTGTGAAATGCAATTCCTTTTTCATTTTCTGGTTGGTTTGGCCCAGCTCTGTGTGGGACTTGCCAATCAATCTGACCTGAGGGATACAGTTAGGCATGGTGATATAAATGACTTCGAATGTGCTATGTTGCTTCAGGCCTAAACTTCTTTTCAACTAGTTGAGATATTTACGGGGCCGTTTGGTTGATGTCACCTAGTAAGGAATATAAGTTTAGCATCCCTGGATGAAATCGGTGGCCAATTCAGGTTGTACACTAGTGGTTCGATTTTTTGATGATAAATTGGCCAGTCTAGAATACCAAAAATAGAGGAATCCCATTAAGGTGCATGCATAGAGCTATGAACCATATCCTTGGCAAGCCCTGAATTTTAAGTATTAATAACAATGAGTGTGCGGTGGTGCCACCAGCCTTTTAGTTTTATTGGTTATGCAAATTTTGTTTTTTGGTAAATTATTCAGTATTACAACCTATTTGTTTTCACTATTTGCAACATTGCACGCACAGGCTGATCTGTTTAAGTAGCAGTGAAGCCTACTAAGAGTGGTAGGTTTTTGTTTGTTGGCTCTTTGTGATAGCCATCAATGCTATTTTCTGTAGGCAAATTACAAAAAAAAAAAAAAAAAAAGGGAAAAAATGCCTTGTGGTTAGGCACAAGAGAAAATTTCCCTTTGAAGTTGAAAACTAACAGCTAACCTCCCAAAGCTTTATTCATTTAGAAACTTGTTTAACACTATTATAATTTTGCACAATTGTTCATCTCTTTTTAAAAACCAGAAAATGGATTTTTACTGAAAAATAATAAAATCACACAGACCTGGTGCTTGAGCTCAACTGAGCTTGAAAGCCTAAAAACTCAAGCAAACCATGAAGCAGAAATGCCCAAAGCCATCAGAACTAGAAAACTAGGTCAGATTTTGGAAGTGATGCATATTTGTAGGCTTTGCAACGAGAGTCTTGAACTTTTGAGTTCAAATGAGAGATGAATTATGAAATTGGTGTCTGAATAACGGGAAAGAAAACAGAGAACTTTCATTTTATGAATAAAAGAAAAGGAAATATATTAGTGACGGGAAAGAGTACTGATAGAACTCGTTTTTTTTTTTTTTTTCCATCTTTATAAGCCCACCAATTTCAGGCAACTCAAGGTGAACATCCATGGCATTCTAGTATGTGTATATAAATGAATACTGCATGTGACCAAGAATTTGCATTTAGAATGTTCGAATGCTTACAAGCATGCAGGGTTTTTTAACTTATTTCTTCCTCTTCCATATTATCAGAAGTGTTGCAGAAGAGCTAACTTGCTTCCAGGAAATTTTGAGAAATGGTGAGATTTGATGGACCTTTATATGACTCAGAGTGATAAACAGATGATGGCAGATCAATCATCTCCGGCACAGTGCTTGAAGGCAATGGAGCAATGAGCTCTTCCAAAGGGTCCCTGAAACTCTAAAATTCGATGGATAATTAATGGCATTAACTGCCCAAGATTGAGAGAAGAATGCAGCTCCCTGAATACCTGATTTTGGAGCAACATCTAAAGCCCGTGACATAACTGGAGCATAGACAAGGACTTTCAAAGAAAAGATCAGAGCAATTTATTATTAGCGAGCTTGGCTAGCGTTTGAGAAACTAGTGTTGGTAAAAAGATTGAGATATTCATCCACTCTAGGATTTGCTCATTCAATTTCTTCAAATTATTCAGGCTTTGTTCTGACCCTGAGGCCTTTTGAATCTAAGCACTTGGACAATTGAAGCATTGCATTTATGTGACTTTGTATTGGAAGAGGAAATACCAGCAGGAGTTTTGTCAATTCTTTGCATCCGCTCCACTTCTCTCACTCTCTCAAATCTCTTTGTGACTTTATTTGTAGCATTTGGGAAGCTTTTGAATGGAATTTAAGAATGGACGATAAAGGATAAAATGAATTTTGGTTGATGTACACAAGGGGCAGGCCTCGGCAATTCTGCTCTCCTTCCCGAACACAAAATATGTAAGAGAACTGCCTTTGGAAATAAATCTGATAATTTAAACATGACATGAAAATAAAACGGGAAAAACAATGTATGAATTTAGTGTAATGTTTTAATTGTGTCTACATGATTAAGGCACGGTATTATTTGTATCGTATTCGTGTCAAATAGTGATAAAACGCTTAAGATATGATATTATTCATGTAAATATATATAACATACAAATTATATAAATTATTTTAATTTATTTTTTAAATAAATTAATAATCGTATTTATTGTGTTATTTTGATGTTTAAATAGATTATAAATATTTAATTTTTAATTAATTTTTTGTTTAAATACTAATTAAAATGATATCTTTTGGTTTAAATAAATAGATTAATCATGTCTAATCTGTTATTCGTATTAAATTGTGTTAATCATGTCATATCATGTTACTTGAATTGTATTAAATAAATTAATTTTAAACGTATTAATTATATCGTGTTACATATAATATGTATAATAAATATATTATATTTATATTTATATTATTTATATTATTTAAATATTCGTGTCATATTCATATCAAAATTATTCATATTATATTTGAAATTGTGTCTGATACGAAATACAATATAATAATATAAATTGTTAAATTTACTTAAAAATAAGAAATCTCTTCTCTTTTTTAAATTACAATTTAATCATTGAAATGCAAAAAAATTATTTCTTTATTAATATATCGTAACATTACATGATTATTTGTGAATATATATATATATGTATTTTTCAAGAGAATTTATACATACATGATATATAAAAAATAATAAATTTGTTCCATAAATCATATTTAAAAGTATATATTGATCTATCAAAATTTCAAATTTTGAATAAAAATAATAGTTTAAAGAATATTCTTTTTCTTAAAACTTTACTTTTCGTCGTCAATTTCACATTTTAAATTGAAAATGTAACGTTTGTTGGAGATTATTTTTGAAATTAATAATTTGTTAAGCTTTTAGTAAGAATATTTTTGGTCTGAAAATAAGAAATAAATTGCAGCCAGTGAAATTCAAACTTTTAACTTACTAAATATTATTTTTTAAAAATTATTACATGAATCAAAAACTAAATTATAGAGTCATAAGTTTACGACATTGTTGTCGATATTTTAGAAACAAATTGATCAATGCTCTTGTGTGAACTTCCTCCTTCACACACTGACTCAATAGCTAATTCCTTCCATTTTCTAGCATTTTCTTTCATTACTTTCCCTTCTTCTCCTTCCATTACTTGTCTGATGCAACGCTCTATTTCATATCTGCTCACAATCCCATTCTCATCGAGATTAACTCGAACCCCAACCTTCCAAACATCCTCAACATACTTAGCATCCGTGGTCTGGTCAGTCCATTGGGGCATTGCCACCATTGGAACTCCCAAGCACAATGCCTCGATGGTGGAGTTCCAGCCACAATGCGTGAAAAAACACCCCACAGCCTCATGTGCTAGCACTTCAGTTTGGGTAATCCAGTTGGCAATCAGGGCTTTATCACCCATTTCTTCTACGAACCTGTCTGGGATTTTGGGTACCTCAGATGATCGAACCACCCACAAGATATAGAAATTGGTTTGCTTTAAGCCCCAGGCAAGTTCCTTCATTTGGTTGATGCTTAAGTTAGCCATGCTGCCAAATGAGACATAAACAACAGATCCTGGTGGCTTGGTGCTTAGCCACTTAGTACTGGTTGAGTCCAATTTGAAGAGATTAAGATCATAATCTTTGTCATTTTCGACTCCTTTGTCTAAGTACATGGATGGGATTGTTGGACCAATTGTTAATAATGGACTGATCACTTTAGACATTGAATCCACAGCCTGCACGTAATTACATGGGACAACAAAACAATAAATTTTTGCTGCTATTAAATCGTAGGAACTTACCTTTTGCCTAAGATAAACTTGAATTATGTCAGTTCAAAGAAAATAAAATACCGTAATCGATAAAATTTTGATGTATTATTAATATATAAATTTTATATAAAATTAATAAGATGATATATAAAATTTATATATCAATAATAAATTAAATATAAATTTTAAAAAATATCTGGTACTATTCTATTTATTTATAGATATAATTAAAGTTGTATTTTTTAGTACATTTTTTGGTATATAGTAAAATGATTTTATGAGATGCTTTACTGTGATGCCACTTGTCATAACTATACCAATATGAAGAGGACTAAGGTAAATTTTATTGCAGTACTAGAAAACCAAAACAGCTTAATTATCTAATGTAAATCGACAAATTAAAAAATCTTATTGATAGGGTTTTGATTAAATGATCAAAACTAATAATCGCGATTATAAAAAATATTTTGTAGGAAAAAAAGTTAAAACTAACCTCATGTTCCAACTCGTAGAAGGTATTAACAAGAATGAAATCTGCTTTGTCTGCATTAGAAAACTGACTCAACACCAACTCAAAGTAAGAAGGATACGACCCTGCAACATAAATGAACGATGGCATGTCTCGAAGCTGAAGCAATGGCAAACCAGGGATGGAGACAGGCACTGATGAAACTGGAAGACTCAGTCGTCCATGGTAAGCATAATAATATATGTAATTAACAACACATGCCTGAGTAAAAAAAGCTGCTCCGATTAAGCCGAATTGCTTTGCTACATCCAAAGCCCATGGAAGGAAAGCATCATATAGTATGCAATCAATAGGATGGGATGAGGTTTTGTATTTTCTGATGAGCTCAACTAGGGTTTTTGATCCAGCAACTTCTAACCTTTTGAGGTAATCGTCGACGCTGTCGGCTTCCGAGAAGCCGCCTTCGTCGCAGCCATCGGATATGGTGTCCATTTCGACGCCGGAGCCAAATGATTCAGGCTTCATGGTTTGGGAGATGAAGAGGGTGGTGGCAAAGGTTGCCTTCAGTCCTTTGGAGGATAAGCGCTTGGAGAATTGGAGCATTGGGTTGATGTGGCCTTGGCTTGGATAAGGAATTGCCAACACATGGGCTCTGTAATCCTTTGTCTCCATCTCTTCCTCTCTCTCTCTCTCTCTCTCTCTCGAATTTAATGTATGATCTTCCAGCATATTGGAGTAAGATATTTATAAGTGAAATAAAAAAAATCACAATCTTATAGAAATTTTGAGGTTGAACATCTTCACAAGTTTCAGCCACAAGATGAGCAATTGAAATTATGGCTAGTATCGATTCGATGTTCTCATATAAAATAAGTCAATATATATATATATATATATATATATTATATTTACAAAAAAATTTAAAATAAAAAAATTATTCAATCTTTCAAATTAAAATAAAATATGTTATATTCGATAAAAATATTTGTAAATCACATATTTGAAATAATCCCAATAAAAAACCAACAATTAGATTCGAATATAAAATTTTTATATAAAAAATGATTCTTATCAATTCAATCAATTTTTTATTAATATGTATTTTCTTTTTCTCTTGTAGATACTGAATTTTGTTCAAATTTATTGGATTAAATCTTGTTTTCAAAATTTGTTTATTAATATCAAAATTATTAATTAATTAATTATATTAATAAAAAATATTTATAAAAAAAAGAGAGGGGACAATGGTGCCATCTGGCACCACCCACCTCTGCAGCCACCGCGCCCTCATGAGAACCTAGGCTAACCCACTTCTATACCCTGACTGCCTATCACTTTCCCTTACCTTGCCACACCAACCTCCACCTGCTACCCCTCAAGCTGACCTTATAAAGCCAACCCCCAAACTGGTGACCAAAAAGGAAAAAAAAGGCATACATCGACACCCAAGCTCTCATGCCAAACCACTCAGTACCTGCACTCAAACCAATCACCTTTTGCTCAGAACCCAACCTCACATCCAGTACCCATACACCAAACACCAGTCATAGCCTCAAACATAAAAAAATTAGCCCCCAGAACTAGACATTCTTTCGCCACCCCTAATCACATACCCCAAAACCACTCCTTACTAGTCTTAGGAACCCATATGCCCTTGACAACCAACAACTGAGCCTCTCAGCCTCGCATTTACCCATACAACGCTTCTAGCTCGAAATGTACTACCTCGGCACTAGAAAAAAAACAAAAAAATAGCCATAAAAAAACATAAAAAAATCATAAACACAATTCTCTCCGTAAAGAGGAACTATCGGCATCGAGCTACCTGTAAAAAAAAAAATCAGTGTTGGTTTATATAAAAAAAAGAAAAGAAATGAACATTGAAACTTCCAACCCTAATCTACGCCGCTCAGGGCTGTTACTGACAAAAGAAATGCTGAATCAGGAAAGAGTGCATTGAGGAGAATTTTATGGAAGTTTTTTGGTATTTTCTATCACTGACGACCATCATTGGTGAGGACCTTAAGCGGCGACAGGCTCGACAGCATGGCACTGAATTTTGATGAGGTTAGAAAGAATTTTGGGGGCTGAGGATTTTTTTTTTCTGAAGAAAGGAAAAAGTGAAGAAAAAAATTTTAAGTTTTATATAAGGTTAAAGAAATCCAAAACGACACTGTTTTAGGCTAAGGAGGATCAGCGCGTAGACTCAAACTTGACCCAATCTGGCAACCCGTCTTTCAACAAGTCCTAAAATGGAGCATTTGCCATGAAATGCACTACTAGCAAAATGAATTTAGGTACGAGTTATGAGGGCATGTTAAAAAAAATAAAAAACAAAAAAAAGCAAAAAAGAAAAAAAAATGGTTATTACATCATGCACTTAAAAAATTTGAGCAAATCTAAATAAAGTCCTGACAAATTCAAAGTTTTGAAAAGGGACAAGGAAAGTCCAAAATAAAACAAGCCAATAATTCAAAAAAAAAAACACAAAAACTTTGAAAATGAAAACCTTTCTTCAAGTTCATTTTCCTAAAAGGAACTGCACTTCAATTTAAGTATTTATGTTTGAAATGACAAATGACCACATTTCATTATCCCTTTATAAACATAAAAATTTATCCCTTGTTACCCCTTTGAGCTTGATTGAAATATTTTCAAATAAACCTTGACTTAGGATCACCCTCCACACTGGGGGACAAAATGGAATGCGTTTAAGGGTTAAGAATGGGGATGTCCAATGGAATCTTGTGTGTTAGGACAAAACTCGAATATAAAAGTTCACAAAAGCTTTGAATCCACTCAGTGAAATAATGCAAAAAAAGAAAAGAAAAGAAAGGAAGAATAAAAGAAGGAAAAATAAAAGAAATGAATGGGTGGAAAACATAAGAAAATAAAAGGAAATATACCGTAGAGTGTATCATTCAAATAAAAAATGATCTTTAGTTTCAAATACTCTTAAATACTTATTTTGAGCATTTTTATCATTTTCTTTAGCAACCCCTATAATATTTGAAAAGTTCATATTGGATCAAGTATGAAGGCTTAAAATTGAAGAGTTTCTTTTGAAAAAAAAATGAATCTTTTGAATTCCCCTTTATTATGTAATTTCTTGTTTGAATCGTTAACCACTTTTGAAAAAATTCTTTTCAAAAAAATTCTTTTCAAAAAAATTCTTTTCCTTTTTTGGATTAGGTTTGAATTTTTTAAGTGCATGGTGTGTAAAAAAAATCAAATAAAAAAAAATAGAAATAAAAGTGGCTCTAGAATGAAAACTCTGAAAAAGGCAGTCTAGAATAAACCCTGAAAGGCCACCCATAATGCTAAATATAGTGGATGCTGAATAAAGGTAAAGCCAAATCTTTTTGAAAGATTTAAAATATCAAAGCCCATAAGTCTAAGATGGATTGATTTTGAAAGTCTCAACTTTTGTTCATTCCCAAATAACTTTTTAAAATCTCAAACCCTTATAGTGGACTTTGACATATATCAAAATATTGCATTTAGAGACTAAGGAAAATGTTAAATATATTTGGTTTTCAAGAAATTTATATTTTTAAAAAAGCTTATATTTCATCTGTGAGCTTGCATGAAAAATTGTATGTCTCTTTTATTCCCTTCAAGTGTTGAAACCTTTTAAATAAATAAAAACCTCTGTCTATAAAACCATTTCATTCATTTGGAAAGAAAATTCCCACCTCTTTCATTTTTTAATGAGATTGTCAAATTTTTTTAAAAAAATTTAAGTCCAGTTTTGCTAACATTAATAAAGTCTTAAGCCTAGATTATCTAGCATCGATAAGATTGAAGCCTAATACAGTTAGCATGTAAGCCTAGATTAGCTGGCACATAAGTCCAGTTTAGCTAGCACAATAAGCCCAAATTAGTTGGTACATAAACTGAGTTTAATTGACACAATAAGCCTAGATTAACCGGCACATAAGCTCAAATTAGCTGAAAAAATATATACCTATTTTTATCACTTTTAAGTGGTGAAATCTTTTTGAATTAGCAGGAATCTTTGGGTGCTAAATCAACCAATCCATTGAGAGAGATTTTTCATTTTTTTCATTTCTAATAGGAATTGTCAATTCCTCAGAAAAACTGAAATCTACATAAAATTTAAACTCAGTTTATTTGGCACAAAAAATTTTTAAACCCAATTTAGCTGGCCCCAAGGGAAATCTTAAGCCCAGTTTATCTAACCTCAAACGAAATTTTAAACCCAGTTTATCTGGCATTTGAAAAAATATTTAAGCTCAGTTTATTTGGCCCCTAATAAAATTTAAGCCCAGTTTATCTTGCCATCGAAAAATATTTAAGCTCAATTTATTTGACCTCTAATAAAAGTTAAGCCCAGTTTATTTAGTCCCTAAAGAAATCTTAAGCCCAGTTTATCTGGCTCCTAAGAAAATCTTAAACCCAAATTAGCTAGCACCCAATGAAGTTTTAAGCCTAATTTTTCTGGCACCAAAGAAAGATTTAAGTCTAGATTAATTGGTACTAATAAATGTTAAGCTTAGTTTATCTAGCCTTCAAACAAAGATTTAAGCCTAGTTTAGTTTTTCTGGCACCAGAGAAAGATTTAAGTCTAGATTAATTGGTACTAATAAATGTTAAGCTTAGTTTATCTAGCCTTCGAACAAAGATTTAAGCCTAGTTTAGCTGGCCTAATGAAATTTTAAGCCTTGTTTATCTAGCATCAAAGAAAGTTTTAAGCCTAGTTTAGTTGGCATGCAAACCTAGATTAACGATTCTTTCTTTCCTAACTTACGATGTTGTCCCGATCGTTCTTTTTTATTCGACTTGTGGTGTTATTCTTGTCGATTTTTTGTTTTCGACTTGCATTGTTTTCTCGATCAATTTTTTATATTTTGACTTGCAGTGTTGTCCCGATTGTTTTTCTTTATTTGACTTGGGTGTTGTCCCAGTCGATTCTTTATTTCTGACTTGTGATGTTGTCCCAATCGTTTTTCTTTATTTAACTTACAGTGCTATTCCAATCAACTTTTTGTTTATTGATTCACGGTGTCATCCCGATCGTTCTTTATCACTTGACTTATGATTCAATTTGAAAAAAAAATAAAAAATAAAAAACTTTAAAAAAATTCTAAATCGTTATTCCAAATAAAATTGATGTATTTGTTTTTGTCATATTCTTGATTCTTAGTAATGTGCAAAAAGATATAGCAGTAGACATTGCATTTTATCCAGATTTACTGAATTAAATCTTGTTTTCAATATCTATTTATTAATATTAAAATTATTAATTAAATAAATATATTCATAAAAAATATTATAAAAAAAAGGAGGGGATAGTGGTGCCATATACAGCACCACTGGCATCACCCATCCCTGTAGCCACCATGCCCCCATAAGACCTTAAGCCAACCCACTCGCATACCCTGACTGCCTATCACTTTCCCTTACCCTACCAAACCAACCACCACCTGCTACCCCCCAAGTTGACCCTATAAAGCCAACCTAAAACCAGTGACCAAAAGGAAAAAAAGAGATACACCGGCACCCAAGCTCCCACGCCCAAACCACCTAGCACCTGCACTCAAACCAATCACCTTCTGTTTAGAACCCAGTCTCGTACCAAGTACCCATACACCAAACACTAGCCATAGCCTCAGACACCAAAAAGCCAGCCTCAAAATTGGACATTCTTTTGCCACCCCCAACCCCATACCCAAAAACCACTCTTTACCAGTCCTAGGAACCCATACGCCCCTAACCACAAACATCTGAGCCTCCCAGCCTCACACTTACCTACAAACACACTACCCTGGCACCAAAAAACAAAC